ATCCCCTGTCTCCCTTTCGTCCGACACCAATGGCCCCTTGTACCAGAGAAGCTTGCTTAAGGAGCCGTCGATTATCCAGTTCCTCTGCGACCGCGTGAGGCTCGACCCGCATTTTGAGCAATACCTCCGCGCTGTCATTGACCAGTCCAAGACCGATTCCAGTGCCACCATCGCCGCCACCAATGCCATCACGATCCTGGTCAGAGCCGGTGTGACCTTCCACGGTGCAGATCTTCGCGGCATCAAGATCCCTGGCGCCGATCTTTCTTACGGTCAGTTCGACTCTGCACAGTTCAAAGGCGCTGACTTGACGAGCGTCAATCTCTCGGGAAGTTGGTTGCGGCAGGCAGATTTGAGTCATGCACAGATGGAGGGCGTTCTGTTCGGAGAGCTGCCATACCTCAAGGTGGAAGGTTCCGTAACAGCCTGTGCCTACTCGCCTGACGGAAGTATGCTTGGAGTGGCGTTAACGGGTAAAGGCCTTGGCATCGGGATATACGACACGTCCACATGGGAACGAATTCATCTAATCACTGTCAGTGACAATGTCCGATCTGTTGTATTCTCGCCTGATAGTCGGCGAATCGTATCTGGATGCGAGAACGGAGCTGTTCAGTTGTGGGATTGCACAAGCGGCAAGGAGGTGTTAGGGAGGTACCCTTGGTCACAATCATGGATCGAACCGTTAGGTATTAAGAGGCACACTCATTGTATACGCTCATTGGCGTACTCGCCTTGCGGCAAACGTATTGCCTCGGCCAGCAACGACAAAACGGTGCGACTGTGGAATTCAGAGACGGCGGCGTGCCTCTTTGTTTTGGAAGGCCACACTGAGTGGGTCGCTAGCGTCAGGTTTTCCCCAGATGGACGTCAGTTAGTATCAGGCAGTGGTGATGGAACGATTCGATTTTGGGACTCGGAGATGGGAGAGCCAGGGGTCGTCTTGAGTCCGTCGTTGGGAGTGATTGCCAGTCTTGCCATTTCTCCAGACTGTCGATGGGTCGCTTCCGGTCACGCTGACGGCGATGTGCAGTTGTGGGATATGCACTCCGGTAGCCCAGGTCCTGTACTACAAGGCCACACCAAGATTGTTACTGGAATCGCATTCTCTCCGGACGGTCAATTGATCGCCACTACGAGCAACGACCGCACGGTGATGTTATGGGACGCATCGACAGGCGACCTTATTTCCACGTTTGACGGTCACTGGCACTCTATATCTTACATTGCCTTCTCTCCGGATGGTCTTACCATTGCATCGGGATCTAATGACGGAATGGTGCGACTATGGGAAGTGAACTCCGGTCGGTCCAGCATTCCGATACAAGATCAGATCGGTGACTCTTGTCTGGTGGCCTACTCTCCCGATGGCCTATCTGTACTCTCTATCGGTCTCGTACCTGTCCTCTCTAAGCATCGCCCTGGCGTTATCCGACAGGGGAATGCTAAGACAGAATCGCGCGGATCAGTGTCGTTTGAGTTTCCGGACCCAGAGGTGATCAACTGCGGGGCGTTTTCGGCGGACGGCAATCAAGTCGCAACCGGGTGCGAGGATGGTTCAGTGCGATTGTGGGATCGCAGAACTGGCGCAGCTGGGCCAGTCTTGAATGGGCATTCGGGTGCGGTGAAGATTGTTGCTTATTCAACCTGTGGTCGCTGGATCGCCTCTTCCGACGGCAATTGGACTGTACGATTGTGGAACCTCCATGACACGGAGAAGCAATACATTCTTGTCAACGCGAGCGGAGGCTATAACAACGAGATCAAGGACTTGAAGTTCTCACCAACAAGCCATGAACTTGCGGTCTGCTCGGGGGACGAAAAAGTCCGGCTTTTCGATCCACAAACAAGAGAGCTCTTAATGTGCAAGCTGATGAAGGGGCCGATTTGGTCATTGGACTACTCGCCCAATAGTCAGCAGCTGGCTTTAGGCACTCGGAACTCGGTTGCCCTGTGGGACCGGCGGTCGAATGAGCCTAGTTTGGAGTTGTTCCCGGATGCTAGTTTGGAGGGTCCGTTTAGTAGGAGCGTGACCGTCGCCTACTCGCCATGCGGTCAGTTTCTGGCATCCTCCACCGAGGACCACATTGTGCATCTCTGGCACCGACATTCGATCCAAGGGAATATCGAGAGCTGGTCTTGCGTAGTAACGCTTCGTGTGTTTTCTGAGCCTGTCGTAAGCCTGTCTTGGAATCCAGTTGTCCCGACGGAGTTCATCACAGCTAGCATGGATGGGTCTGTCCGAGTATGGCGAGTGTCGAACTATGATAGAGCAGTTGTCGTTAAGATGCTATGGGGTACTAATCTTAGGAGGCTTTGCTGTGAAGGTGTGGTCCTCAAAGGTGCGACTGGTCTGAGCCCGATCTACCGCAAGTTGTTGGCACAGCGCAGTGCTTTTGATAGGGGCTTGTCTTCAGATGACAATGGATCTGATGATGGGCCTGAAGAGGACGGTGGATTTGAAGATGGGTTTTGCGATGGATTTGACGTTGGGTCTAAGGACTACGATGAACTTGACTATTGGCTTGAAGACGATAACGGATCTGACGATGAGTCTGACGATGAGTCTGAAGATGAGTCTGAAGATGAGGAGTAACGGATGGACCTCGTCGCACCTAACAGAGCAAAAAAGGCGACCAATAAACTTATACGTGATGATCTTGCCAAACATAGAAAGTGCTCCTGTATGTATTGTTTCTTGAAAAGAACTGTTCGCGTTTCTGTTTCTTCTTGCATTGTCCTATCTTGTTGTTCACGTTGCGATGTAAAAGCTGGTATGAAAAAAGGCGTATGGTTATTGGGTCGTGGAACTCTTCAGACTCATGCGTGATACTCAAAAGAAAAAAGTAAGTTAGAAGGCTCGTCCCTACTACATATATTCCGGATCCTCACCAACACAAAAAATATCGCTCTCGACAACCGTGTGTGCCATAGACAGGGCTATGGTTTAAGTCAAACTGTTTACTTTACTACATCGAAATATATTACTGTTACGCTAGTGGGTAGTGAGGGAATGCTCTGGTTGTTATTGTTGTGGAGTGGAAGCAATGAGGGTGGAATAAAGGGATATAATCGTTGTTTAGCTTTCGTTCGCCTTCCTTGCGATGAACATCATATATACTAATTGTGTAAGTTGCTCTCTTCGATGACCTTGGTACATACTTTCCTCCAGTTTGTAGGATAAAAGGACAAGGACGCCTTTGTAATCTCATCTACATAGCGTGTCAATCGTGACTGAGGGCCGTATAGGGTTACTATACGCGACTGGTAGACAGGACGAGGGCGCGTGTGATTGACAGGACGTGGTTGAGGCGAGGGGGGGGGGGGGGGGACCTTCTTTTGATCCCTTGGTCGCTGATGGACATCATGAGATGAGTGTGTTTTCATCGATGATCGACGATACTGTATGACGGTAACGCGTTACCGGGAGGGACGGGTATAAATACCCCCTCTCCTCCGCACCTTCTTTCTTTCTTTCTCTCTTGTTCTGCCCTTTACTCCTTACTATGCAACACACATACTTTACTTTCTGCCAAACTATCCCGCTTCTCCTACCCTCTCATGCTTCGACATCCGTGCGATTCAAGGCCTTCTATTCCTACTCACGCATCCAATATTCGAGTCGTCACGTAAGAAGGGAAGAAAGCATCTTCACTAACCAAACAACGCCCACAAACATGACCAACCTACCCCACTACCTGCAACGGGATCGGAACGAGGACGATTGAGAAGACACGAACGAATAGACGAGCGGACGAGCAGACGAGCACCAAAGAGGGCATGAGGAACAAAAAACTAGGGATCATGTCTTTAATAAGGAAAAAGTAACTATGAACGAGGAAATTGGCTATGGTTCGGTATTTGTTGTGTTCAAGTGTGGAAGGACAACCTTAATCGCAAGAGTGTTTAATCGCCGTGGAGGAGACAAAAAAACGGCTGAGGACCATTGGTCACGAAAAACAAAAATGAAAGAGAGGAAGAAAGAGAGTCGACAGGACAGTTGTTTGTGCGTTGTGCTTGGTTGGTTTGGTATTTTATGGTTGGCCTTGACAAACGCTCATTCATGCGTGCAACCATCAAGAGGGAGGAGATGGACTGCATGCATGGTGGTTGTGCACAATGAAAACATAAAGTTACGACCGAGCGTTTGTGACTCCAGTCAGACAGACAAAGACGAGCTAGTATTCGGTTGTTTACGGTCTGTGTTGTTTTTTCATAGAGAGGGAGCATTGGTCAAGTGTTTGTTGCCGAGAGCCATACCCCAAACAACAAAAGATACAAAGGAGGAGGTGTCAGAAGACACGGTTTGATTTCTTGTTTGAAGAAGGAGGGTGCGTGTGGAGAAGCAAGCTGCGGATGTGTTGTTGTGCTTTGGTCATCTGAGTGCTATTACCAAAGCGGAAGGTACGTGTGCACCATAGGCATTTGAGTTCGCAAAGGTAAAGAGAAGGCAAAGCCAAATACCTATAGAGGGTATGCTCACTTCTTGCCTTGAACAAGTGCTTGTGTGACATTGACGTTCAAGGACAACCGAGCAAGTAACAGTACACTGCCTAGTACAGTAACAGAGTGAGTAAAGACAATAAAATAGGTTTGAGTTCGGAGGTGGTCATGGATGGATCTGGATGGTGGTCATGGTCGTTCTGGTCTCCTCTGCCCTGGCTGGTTGTCATATGATCACTGCTACAAAGAGATGGTGGTGGGCCAATGGGATCCCTCTCTTTCTCTCACTTGGACCTGGCTCCACTTCTGTTTGTATAAAACTCCTTGCCCTTTTTCTCTTTCTCTCTTCAACTTCTTCCCCCCTTTTTTTCCTCCACAATTGTTATCCACCTTCTTACTCGTGTGCCTCCTCCCTCTTTGCCCTTCCCCTCTCTCTTCACAGCAGCAACCACCTTTCTTTATTCTCTTTCCCTCCTTCCCTCCTTCCCTCTTTGTTTTTACTCTCCCTCTCTTTCTCCTCTTTTCAAACTCAACAATCCCACCTCAAGCAACCAAACATGGACATGGACATGGAAATGGATGTCGACCTCAACGTCGGCTTCGACATGTCAATGGCAAAGGACGACCTCCTCCTCTCAACCCTCACCCCCTCCCCTTCCTGCGCCTCGCTCTATCAAATGTACCAGGACCGCCGCTGTATGTCAACAATCATCACAACCACAACAACAACCACAACAACAACCACCTCTACTCCCTCCTCACCGACCTCGCCCATGCCCAAGAGTCCCCTCGGTCTTGAATATTCCCGAGACGAGTCCGACGATACCAACAGTACCGAAAGCAACAACAGCAGGAGGAATAGTAGCACATGCCAAAGCGTAACCGACAATAACGATGAGACATTGTCGGCGGCGCCGTTTGCAGATTTGGGTCTGGTCTCGGAAGGGCCGTACCTGTTTGTGTTTGACATGGCGGTGTCACTGTATTTCCCCATCCGGGCCATGATCCTCTTTGCCCTCGGCTTTGTCTTCTCGCTCGTGATTGACCATCTCCAGACTCAGCATCGGTTAATCCAGTATCCGACCCAGACTGCCGCCCTTGCCAATATGTACCGACTCTGGGATACCGCCTCTTGGCTGCCCCCCACCTGCGGAGCATCGGCCGTTTTAATCGGGACCGTCTACCCCCTCGGCGATTACCTCTGGTGGGGTCAGCGCGTCAACAGGAACAACCGGGACTGGTCCAGTGTCATGAGGTAACCTTTGATGCCTTACTTATTCATTCTTCCCCTCCTTCTCCCTTACAGCCCTTCGTTGTTATTACAATATGCATTCTTGTTTCTTATTTTTATTGAGAAGGACAGCCGTTGACAGGAGCAGTGTCCTTTTGTGTCTTTCCCTGCACCTTCCACTATTATTACACCATGTATTCTTGCCAAGATACGCTCTATATTATGGTTTTCTTGCACAATTGCTCCACCTTCATGCAAGTTATGAGCGGCTATTGTGTCCCCCCCTCGGCTTTTTTTGGTTTTACTATGTTGCCAAGGCTATTACCGACGAGTATTGGTGGCGCACCCCCACCCCCGCTTGGATCCTCTTTTTTCGACCCCCTGACCCCACATCACGAACAAAACAAACAAACAAACAAACAAAAAGGCAAACAACAACGCTAACCTACATTTTTCTCTTTTGGTCTACTTTGTAGGTGCTTTGGTGGATTCATTGGAGTCAATTATGCGGCATCCAAATTACCATGGACAAGCAGCCTGCAGGTGTCATGCACACTTGCCCTGATCTCTGTTGGACTGTGGTTCTGGTTCGATCGCACCTTTCACGGATTCATGATCTCGCTGACAGTCGCCGCTGCAGGAACTGCCGTCGCCTACTTTTTGGTGGCCAATGGATGGTACAGGTACGAAGTCAAGCCAGGACCGCAAATGGATATATTGAATATGATCGAGAGTGCTTCATTGAACAATTGACTGACCCGATCGTCTTTTCCATTTCTTTTGCATAATGAACTATAGTTTTACAAGGGCGGATGTGTTTGGCGTTGGATCGTGGATCCCTTGCATCTTGTACTCGTCGTCAGTGTGTTTTGGCAGCATTGGTCGGCAACTGGACGTTGTCCCTGAGGCGTGGTACAATAACGACAACAATTCAACACGGCTTCACCTTAAGACCGAGTAGGCACATATTTTGTTGAACCTCGCCTCTTTCTTGCAATCATTATACCAGTTACTCGCTACCAGCACCCTCTTGTACCATAACTACCTTCACCCCCTTACCCATATCCTTGCTCTGCACTAATGCATGTGCAGATAACATACCCCTTCCTTCCCTTGTTCCCAACCATTGTAATAAAAAATGAAAAATTTGTGACTTGATCCCCTGGCGCTTATTTGTCACAGGCGCGTCCCAATTGATGTGCTGGCAGTTGAGCAGTGCCCTTCTTTTGTTTTTGTTCACTACAACAACCTACTTCGACGTTAACCCAGGAAACATCATCTTTGCCGAGAACAAGGACAAGGACAACACCCACATTCGACATCACCACTTCATCATCAAACACCAGTAGCGCTGGTCGAAAGAAGGCGAGCCATGTCATTCATGATGGCCATCAACAACAATACCACAAACAACATCCCAACAACCAGCAAGCCGCCTGTCGATGCAGACGAGCTTTTCATGAAGCTCAGTGTCCCTGAGCTCAACGTCTACGAGCGGAGGACCAGGTACTTACCTCTTGGTCTTGCTGGGACTTGCGCTTGTCAACCGCGGTATTGAGCTTTTAGGCAACAGAGTAAAAACGAAGCATTCAGCTAACTGTCTATCGCAACTTGTTTTGTGAATTGGTTCATTAGGCAGGACATTGAGAACAAGAAGCAGGAGCTCCGGATGATGGTCGGGTAGGGCATCACCAACCTCTCTAATCCACCCTTGTCCACCCATCACCAACCACTCACATCACCAAACCTCTCATAACAACTCACATCACTCTGGCTTCTCGTTGTGAACCAAATAGAGAACGGTACCGCGACTTGATTGGGGCAGCAGACTGTATCGTCAGGATGAAGGAGACGGCTTTCTCGGTTCAGGACAACATTGCCCGTATGCGGAGTTCGTGCGATATTCACTCGCTCAAGCGCAATGTTGCTGCTAAAACCAAGAAGGCTCAGAGCGGATCCATGGGTACGTACGAGAAACGCTGTTCAGACGATATTCTCTTTGTAGGACTTGAAGACGTAAACGGGAGAAAGAGTACTTTCTGGAAATGACTATTGACTATGGATATTTGTCTTTTTCTTTTGCATCTTAGATGATATGAAAAAGTCGCTGTACACGTCGGCTGCTCAGATCAAGTTGTTGGCGGATGTTCCTGAGCAGGTACATGGAGTTTCATGGACACCACACCACAACGGAACAAGACAACTCTTTGGGTTATACTATTGGAGACCGCCACTTACCGCATACTGCTTCTATGATTGCGAACATACCATTTGAACAAAACTAGATTTGGCGCAATATGGAGAACCACAGCTACTTGACCGCAAGTCGACTCTACCTCATCAGCAAGGCGATCTACAAACACTTGAACGCGGATGCCGAGGAGAGAGCCAACCAATCTGTCAAAGTCATGGTATGTTAAAGCGAGAACGCATATTTCAGGTACTACCTGAACATTTCGTATACTGCTTTGACAGCTGTTATCACCGTTTGCTAACGCGCTAGCTTATTTGACCGTTAATTAATTTAGGAGACATTCCCAGTTGTAGGTCGTCAGTGGGACGCTGTCAGTCATTTCAAAGCACAGATCCTGCAAAAGAGTCATCAGCACCTGAAGAACGCTGACCTGTCCGATCTGGTAAGGATTTGTTCTCCCTTTTTCTTTCCCTGCTATAATGCCATGCCTGTCTGTTTTGCGGGAAGAAACATGCTGACGATCATATCTTTGCGCTATTATCATAATAGGATGTGATTGAGACGATGTGCGCGGTGATGTTACTCGACGACATGACGATCAAAGACATGTTCGCGCTCTTGTTGACCCAACGTCGTGAAGCCATCCGTGAATCCCTTGAAGTCCAGCAACAACAACAACAGCAGCAGCAGCAGCAAGGAGGATCGGATGTCATTGCGGGACAGATCGTGAAGGCGATTGAGATCCTTAAGGCCACACTTTTCCATATCAGCGGCGTGTTTCTGGAACCTGTGACAGAACCAGGAAAGTCCTCGTCGAAGGTTTCGCCATTGGAGCGACATCTTAGGAGCCTGCAGCAGACTTTCTCGACTCCTCTTCCTGCTGCTGCTGCTGGGGATGGATATTTGGACGGCACGGCGCCTGCTTTGCAGGCCTCGTTGATCCTTCAGCCCGCGGCACAAATCAACATGCCATCAACTACCGCTTCGTCCGTCATCCCAAAATTATACCCCACCACGCCTAACATCCACCTCTTGGTTCGGTACCTTCCCGAATCTGTCCAAAATTTCACGCCGTTTATTCATCTCGAGGGTTCGAGGGCTGCGTTCTCCCAGCAGGATGTTGTTCAGGGTGTTAGGGTTTGGGTGGAGGAGGTTGCCAAGATGTTTGGAGGTGGGTTTGAGACGCTGTTGCAGCAGGTTCATACTAATGCGGGGTTGGTCGATATCCGGACAAGGGTTTGGGCTGCTTTGCAGGTGGATGAGTTTGCGCAGTTGAGCGCCATGGATAACAGTGGTAACAGTGCCGGCAAGAGGAAGCAGACGAACGCGTGGAAGAGAGTTTGTGGCACGCTGTTGGATGGGCCGTTCAGCATTTGGGACCGGATCTTGCGTGCTGGGTTCACAAAGACGTTCCAGGATATTATCGTCTTTTCGCTCGAAGATCTGTCATTGCAGCCGGAGAGGTTACTTCGACCACGGTTGGGAGAACTGGATCGGGAGGAAGATCCGAACCATGATGTGGGCAAGTTTGTCTGGAACGATACTGCGGTCACCAAGGGGGCTGTTCTTCCTACTGCTACTGAGCCGTTGATTCAGAGGATTCGGGAGTACGTCGATGGAAAGACGGATTTGGTCGCTCAGGCAACTAGTGCGTTTGAGAGTAAGTTGGGCGCAATTCGGGAGGATCAGGAGAAGGCGTTGGTTTTGGAAAGGGAGGTTCTGTTGGGGCGGTTGTTGATGGAGACTGAAGGTGGTGAGGATCTGGAGGATCTGGATCGGGATGATGGGCAGTGGGATCTTTTTGGAGCCAAGAGCGATACACGCGAATTGGTCGAGTTTTATCAACGCCAGACGGTCGAGTGTATCAAGGCCTATACCCTGGGGCTCAAGAAACTCGTTGTCGAGGCGGTGCGTAAGCCGGAGAAGGCCCGGAATACTGTCCAGGCTATGGATCGGGCCATGACTGTGGGGAGGGTGGCGTCGGGTGTTGCGGCAATGGGATGGACATTACAGAAGGTCCTGTCACCTCCTCGGGACCGGTCGTCGAGTTTGAACTTTGTGCAGGCTAGGGCGTCACAAGCGAATGTGGATGCGCAGGTCCAGGGGTTGCTTCAGGGATTGGGAGCTGTGTACCTCACGGCGCATGAGGCTTGGATTGAGAGTGTTGAGTGGTCGTTGGCGAGGAGTATGAAGCATTACTTGAGGGATTCTTCGTGGACGGATTTGGCGACGCTGGCATGGGAGCCTATGGCGAGTACGACCGCTACGTCGAGTCCTGTGGGTAGTGGCAGGCGAGGGGCTCCCCTGGCGTCGTCTGCTCTTTCGTCAACAACAGCAGGAGGAGATGAAGCAAAGACATTGCTTCCGTTCCATGGATCAACACGTCTGGTCACAGCACTACACCAAGTCGTCCAAGAGATGCACCGAATCGGAACTGGGTTCATAAAGCCGGACCTCATCGAAAGGTTGACCATCAAGTTGGCCCTTGTGACTTTCAAGGCGCTAGACCAGTTCCTGAGCGATGTTGTGGTCGATGATGCCACGGCCTCGGGTATGGGTGCAGAGGAGTTGGAGACAAAGGTTGTGTTGTCGGAGAAGGGGGCGTTGCAGCTGTTATTTGATGCAAAGTTCTTGAACCTCGTGTTTGCAACTGCTCTGGAGAAGGATTTGGAGGTCGGACGGGTTACCAAGGCGGTTCTTGACCGGATTCGTAGACATGTAAGTTTTTTTTTTTTTTTTTTTTTTTTTTTTTGGAGATACGAATGGGTTTGTTCTGCCGTCTTTCATGACCCGCTGCTTTTCTGACAGTATTTTTTTATTTGTTTTGTTTCTGTGGGCGGTCCATATGTAGATTGATCCGATTAACTTGGCAACGTTCGAGAAGCCGCTGGATACGAACGCAGATCGTCAGTACAGCCGTGTTGCGGTCCTGTTGGGGCTCTTGGTTCAACTCAACCCCACCGACTCGTAAGTCCCTTCTTCTCCCTCCTCCTTTTCGCTTGCGGACTTAATTACAGAAGAATCGACCTGATTGACAGATAGACCGACTAACTAACCCCAATTGTTTGTTTGGTGTCGAGTAGGAAGCGAAAGATGAATGTGATTGAGCAGTCGCCTCATGTCTTTGCAATGGCGCCGCTCACGGCTCGATTCACACTCTTACCTATCGGTCAACGCATAACTGGACGCGTCGTTTAAAGAGAGGGCTGCAACAACGCCAAGGGACATATTATTAAAAATCCTTTTCTCCTTCGCTTTCTCTCCTTTATAAAAAAATGGTATCTTGGTAATAGTACAACAAACAAAAAAAAAAGAAAAGAAACAACATATGAAAGTAAAACAAAACAACGCAAAAAAGCAAGGAAGAAAAAAATATTAAAAAACGAGCTCCCCAATCCTCCGCAGCTTGTTGACAGAAGTAACCAGCGCCCGCAAGGGAGAGTTTTGAGGCAATTGCCTCATCCTCGTAGCCGTCAAAGGCGGCTTACCGCGGGTTTCCCTCTCCAACTTGCGCTCCATAACCGTCAGGATCCCCCTGAGCTTCTTGGCCTCGTTCGCCATGGCCTTGAAGACCCTCCTCCGCTTCAAGTACCCGTCCATATCCGGTTGAATCTGCTGCTGGATCTGGCGCTGCGTCAAGAACTCATGGTCCAAATGGATCAACATGATCGTCAGGGTCGAGTCAAAGACCATATCGTTCTCGCGGTACGACTGCGCAGTGTCGACCAGAATCTCTAGTCCGTCAGGTGCCCAGAAGACAGATCCGGTGGTATCGCGGTCCCAGGAAAGGTTCTCGAGAATGTTGAGGCTGTGCTTCAGAACCTCCATGTGCGGCTGACTGCGGTTGCACGACTTGATCAACTGGAATATAATGTTGACCACATTATGCTCCACCAAACGCAAACAACTGTTCTTCGACAGCCTTGTCACCACATCTATATCACATAAAAAGATAGATACGTTAGCGAAACCTAACAAGGCAACGAGATGCGGCATCCCACACTAAAGAAGGCAACAACTAGAAGAGAATACGTACCGAGGTGATAGCAGGCCTTCAAAACAGCGGAGAGCTGACCACTGCTCAACAAGATATCCAGCGCCATGGTAGTACGATTGCCCAGCTTCATGTGCTCCTCCGCCGTCGCGTTGGCATGCTCGATCCTCTTGCGCGCAGCCTTGATCTTGGCGGTACAATCCTGACGGACGACATGTCCACGCCACCACGACTGCACCTTGACGATCGCGTCCATACGGCGCAGAGCACGTCGACGAGCCAAAACTCCATGGATCTGAGTCTGCATCTGCAGCGTCAGCTGGTTGAGCACGCCGATCGTGTACTGCTCCTGGCAATCGCGCCACCATCGCTGGATCTTGATGGCAGCAAATGTATACAACTCCTCCATCTTCCTGATCTGGTAAGAACGCCAGGCGCGCTGGATCCTGATGGCCGCGAACGAAGCAGACGACACCTCAACCCAGCGGCTCATAATTCTCTCACGGTCCTCGAGGTGTGCAATAATGCGTTTCCGGGTAAGGAACCCACGTGCGCCAGTCTGGATGAGGAGCGCCGCCGCCTGTCGCTCAGCCGCAATCTTCATGTTCATCGCCCGAGTCTGTACAACATCTCTCCTGGCCCGCTGCATGACAATGGCAGCCCACCGCAGATCCAAGTACGCATGCCTCTGCTGTTGTCCCAACTGCACCGCCCTCCAGGTAGTCTGGATCGTCCTGGCAGCCTTCCACTGTTCCAGATACACGCGTCTCTGCTCCTGTCCCTGCACACGAGCGCGCCACCTTTTCTGAATCGTGACAGCAGCCCATCGCATATCCTGATACTGCTTCCGAACAAGAGCGCCTCTGGCATGAGACTGAGTCGCAACGACCAATGCACGAGCCGCCTGGTAGGCCTGTCGGACCTGCCGACCCTTCAAAACAGCGCGCCACTTCCTCTGAATCAGGATAGATGCGTGAACCATGGTGTCATACACGATCCTCTGCTCGATACCAGACTGCCGAGCCCTCCAGCGAGTCTGGACGACCAAGGCGGCAAGCCGAAGTCGCTCGTACTGCCACTGGGCAAATCTGGCACGGACCATTGCCTGGACACGCACTATCGTCTGTAGACCCAACGCCTCTCGTCTGGCAACTTGTCCGCGGTAGATCGACTGAACAGCAATTGACGCCTCACGCAGCTTCCTGTACTGCTGCCTTGTCTCATGGCCAGCCTTGCAAGCACGCCACCAGCGCTGGGTGACAATCGCTGCCCATCGGTACTCGTCGTACATGTGCTGCTCCCGTCGGCGGTGCTGGACAGCTCTCCATTTCTGCTGAATGACAATAGACGCTGCCTTCGTGCGCAAGTAGGCCTTTCGTTGGACGTGACCTCTCCAAGCAGCTTGGATCGTCATCGCGGCCTGATTCTCCTGCATGACCTTGATAAGTCTCTGACGAAGAAGGTATCCACGAATCGCTGCTTGGAAGCGGATAAATGTCGACCGCAGCTCCTGGTACTCTTGTCTGGTCTTACGTCCCTGCAAAAGAGCCCGTCGACGATCCTGAATGACCCGAACAGCAGCACGGATCTGCAAGAACCGGTACTCTTGCTCGCGCCCCTCAACCAGCGCCCTCCGACGATGCTGAACCGCAATAGCAGCTGCACGCAGCTGGCGGTACTGGAACTGGACAACCTTGGCACGGTAGGTAGTCTGGATCTGGACGACAGTCCATTGCAGCGTCTGGTATTTGTACTGGGCGTCGCGGCGAGCCACGACAGCCCTCCATCCAGCCTGAATCGTGCGTGCTGCCCATTGGAGTTCCTGGTACCGCAGCTGCTGATTCTTGGCCAGGGCACGCATCCTCCACCGTCGCTGGATAATCACCGCAGCCCATTGTTTCTCCAGGAAAGCGTGACGTTCCAACTTGGACCGGACCTGCGCCTGAAGGGCAACAGCCCAACTCCGAAGCTGGACAAACTGCTGACGAACAGCTCTTCCAGCAACAGTGGCCTTCCATGTCCGCTGAATGACTACAGAGGCAGATACAATCTCAATATAAAGCTGGCGAACTCTACGGCCCTCGACCAATGCACGTCGCCTGGACTGGACAATCTCAGCAGCAATCCTGAGCAAAAGAAACTGTTTCCGGACGATATATCCGCGAGCTTGCGCCTGAATCGCCCGAGAACTCCGGTACTCCTCAAAGATTGGCGCATAATGTTGACGGGTAGCATGTCCACGGTAGTACCGCTGCACCGTCAGGGCAGCCCATTGCATCTCCAAGAATTGCTTCCTCGCCAAGAACGCCCTGCACTGGGTTTGCAAGGTCATCACAGTCTCCATCTTTTGGATCGCGCGCGTCTGAGCAAGGTAAGCGCGACAACCCGTCTGGATTAAGAGAGCGGCGTCGATCTTCTGCTCCTTGATCTTGTGGACATGCCTGCCGGACAAATATCTCCGGATGTGCTTTTGGATAACGACTGTCGCCTTGACCCTGGTCTCCTCCTTGCGGCCATAGTGCTTCTTGCGCCAGATCCGCTGAATTGTCTTGGCAGCTCGAATGTCCTTGTTGAGATGCATCAGTCGCGCGCAGAGGTAGGTCACAAACAGGATGACCGCCTTTTCATCCGGCACTCCCACATTCGACATGTCTGCATGGCGTACTGTTAAAAACGATAAGTTAGTTAGGCGCTGCAAATCGTTGGAAGTAACGCAATGACGAGTCATAAATACATGAGTGCGAACTTACGTGTGATAGGAACACCGCCTAGCGCTTGGACTTTGGTGTGTAGGAGTCGGTAGTTAAAGCGATCCATCTCCTTGGACTGGGTAATCGGGTCCTTGACATCCTTGGTATCAATAAACCATCCCTTCCCGTCAGCGCCTCCTGTAATCTCGAGCTCAGGTTGGTGCATCCCCTGAATGACACAAAAAGTTGGAACTAGTTAGATTTCGAAACACAAACGGTCTTGATACGTCCGCAACAAGCCATGGCAAAGCAAGCCAAAATTGATGCTTACCTGCTTGTACTCGCTCAAGAAACGGGCAGAGTCCTTCATCTCGGTCATATCGAGAAGTGTAGGGTGGTAGTAGCTCAGAAGCGCTCCGAAACCACGCCCGTCGGCAAATGATGTTGTAAAGTTGTTGATTGAGAGATTGTAGAACGCCCCTATAGCCTGGCACCAGCGAAGAAGTGCTGACAGTTGATCCGAAGTGAAGTATACCGTATCCTATTAAAAAGATATTGAGAAACATGATAAGTGTGGCGCTTTGTCATGCCAGAAACCACGGTATATCGATACCAAAATCAAAATATAATACTTACGACGCGGTCGGGTTGGTCGACTCCATAGATTCGCTTATATTCTGCCTTCAGCGCCGCAATCTCTGCCTCGAGCACGCTAAGGTCAACAAGCACGGCAACCTTCCAATTCAGGATCAGCTTCCATAACAGTCCAAAAGTCTTTTCACGGTGACCCTCCACAATGTCGCGAGGGGTGACAACGCCGCCACGAGTGCCCTCTAACGAAATGCCTTGAGTAACTAGTGCGCTTAGTGCCAAGTTCACATTTTGCTGCATATGCGTCTTGGAGAGCGTTGGAAATTTCATTTTCTAATATACATCAGAGCGAGTGTAGAGCAACATGTTAGTATGTGATGGCCGAAAGATGAAAAGAGCTCCTTCGTCAAATTGTAAGCGATAAATAGCACACCTGACTGAGGCTGAGCTCGGGGCAGTGCAGGTCAATAAGGCGACAAAGTCGAACACCATCACGCAGATCGACGGCCAGGTTCTTGACGGTAAAGTCAAACTCATCCAGCGGTGCCTGATTATGAATAACAGAGTATCCCATGAATATGAGATGTCGAATAATGTCTCCTTCGCCCATGAGATAGGTCTTGGAGATTGTCAGAAGCAACGTCCGACAAGATTTGATATCCGAATCCTAATTATATAATTATGCGGAAGGCACGGTCAGCATTTGGGATCGCTTTTTTTGGTGTCGCAGATATATATCTTCTTCCGCTTCATCGGGGCGCACGCTCCATACCTTGTTGAACAGACATGGATCAGAGGGGATCAATCGGGCGGTTTTGGCCTTGTCGAGGAACAGAATCAACATAAAGATCCTCTTGAGAATCAGCCTGTTCATGGTCTGGTAAAACTTGGGTCGATTGGAAAGAACCCTGTCTGGCTCAAGTTCCGCCTCGATTTGTTTGTCGTGAAAAACGGCCTGCAATGGTCAAAATGAGAAAGGGCGTACAGGTTAATAGTTTACTCTATTATTTGTCAGTGCTTCGAAGTGTAGCTTGCACAAAAATGAAAGAGTACCTTGTTGATAAAGCCAGAGATGGTGGGGCGGTCAAAGTTGGGGTTGATGGCAGTGGCCTTGCCGGTGATGGTCTCCAGACCAAGAACAAGCCAACGAATGTCGAACGAGAAGAAAAGGTCAATGACCTCTCGCCTGGCAGCGACATCTCCCGCAAAATTACAGTCTGCTCGGAGTTGTAGCCGGTCCCGCGCAATGGACTCTTCGACCTTGCGGAGGACGATCCGAAAACTGTCAGACTGGTAGATCTTGAATGCAGCCGCCCGAGTGTGTTCGTACTCAAACTTGTGGGAGTAGTAGCTCCATGATGAGGGGTCCTTGGGTGAGAAAGAGTCGACAGTGACGTGGAACTCGTAGTTGAGCCACTGTGAAAACGACCGTTCCTGTTTGTCGATCCACTTTTCGTCGTACATCTCGTTGCTGGTGACATAGGGCAAAGTGCTGTATCCTCCTGGTGCTGGTGATGTGTTTGGTAACGCTGTCCGTGCAACACTGTGTCGCATCATGCTCTGCTTCAAGGTGCTGCTCTTGGGTTGAAATACCGATGCGCCCAGATCCTTGACACTGCGAGTGCTGGCCGACATCATCTTTCGGGTTGAGCTGCCCAGACTTTGATATTCAGGAATCTACCGCGGGGTAAAAATAAGAAAGAAGGCTCATATATTATTATCATTGTCCTTTGAGCTCTCTTTACAGAATAAAGTAGATATAGAATGAAACGAGGTGTATACAAGGGCTCAAAACTTACAGGAACGTCTCCAGTTCCACGAAGATTCACCATACAGCGGCCGTTACTGGTCCTGAGGAGGGCGCTGGCTCTGACACTTCCAGCAACAAGGGGTGTCCAGGTGATCGTGAGTTCCATCTTGGACTTTGGCCCTAGAGTCAAAGACTCAACGGTGTTAGCTCTTCCAGCGGTATGAAGAGGATCCAGTTGAAGAATGTTGAAACCCTTCTCCTCCATCTTGCAACCGGGATCCAGCACCAAACGCTCCGTCGTCTCGCCTGGGTTCTCAACCATCATCGAAACCGTCTTTTTGGACCCAACCACGACCTTCCCAAACTCGAGCCAAGGTGAAGGCTCAAAGGGCGCTAGTATCAAGGTAGGGAGGGCCGCAGTGTTGGCATCATGGTCCAGCGACGACAACGGCCGAGTTCCTAGTACCGTTGGGGTGGTTGTGATGTTGCTGGTGGTGGTGGCAGTTGTCGCGTTTGTTGTAGCTCCGCCATTGCTATTGTTATGAATGTTCTCTGTGGTGGATTGGCGTCGTAGGTGGACTTTAGCGTTGGGATTGAGTTCAGTGTGAGAAGGTTTTCGTTTAATGGAAGAGGGTAGGCCGAGTAGTGATGGAGCCTTGAAGACGTTCTCGTTGTTCGTCCCTGTGGGTATATTATGTCCTTCTCGTCTCTGTTGTTGTTGTTGTTGTTGTGATTGTTGTTGATGTAGAGGTGCGTTGGGTGGACGCATGGTGCCCCTCGAAGCCATGGCTCGGGAATCCTGATCTTCAGCGGACGACTGACGGAGAGAAGAGAGAGTTGCTCTTTAGGAAGTATCTTCCGAGGGGTCCGATGTCGGCGACGTAGAGAGTAGGTTGGTGAGTGGAGGAGCGAGAGGAGGGAGGTAAAGATAGTGGCGTCTGTCTTTGTTCGTGTTTTGTCCGCTCCTGTTGCAATGAAATGAAAGGCCAATTTAGCTCATGCGATAAAATATGCTTCCAAGCATCACCTACGCTCAAAAAAACCCTACGCGCCCTGTCTAGCCTTCCCTTGCTCTGGGTTCCGCTTCTTTCTTTGGGACCCACAACTTGCATGAAGAATAAAGAACGCTCCTCGGAAACCACCCTCACAACCTGCATTCCTACGATCCTCGAACACACCTAGGCCCTCACCTCCACTGAACCACCTTCTCACCACAGACTGCCCTTTATCCCTTCTATCAATTAACATCCCTCTTGCACTTCGATCACGGCTTCTCTACATACCTCCTTCCTTTCTCCAATTCTTCTTCCACCTCGATCAATGCTCTTTTTTAGCATAACCACCCTTTCCGGGAGCACAAAAAGTTCTCAATTTGTGGAACAAGGCACAAAAAGATGCTAATATCTCACACACTCGCCTTCGCCCTTTATGCTGACCAAAGCCATGTGGGCGATCGATAGATCAAGTCCACCTCCTTCCCTCTGCTTCCTTTCCCTCCTCCCTCCCCACATTATTTGTGGTATTCATGCAAAAATTCCGAAGCAAAAGGCATGTTTGTTCTTCTGTTTATTATTGAAAGAACTGCTACGACACATAATGACTTGAGACATCGAAGGGGAAAACGTAAAAGGGGAGGCTCCTTGAAGGCATGGAGGGATGGGAAGATGGAGAGAGAGAGCGAGAGAATGGCTGGCAACAATAGACAACAGTAACAGTTTGGGGTATTTGCAGAAGGCAACACAAGGAAGCGAAGAAAAGGGGTACAGGCGGAAACCAGAACCCTCCTGGAGATAGAAGAGAGAAGTAATGGGGAAAATGGGGGGGAGACTCGGGGAAGGGAGAGTAGGCTCTGCCGTTTGACATCCATCATGGATGGTGGTGGTTGCTGATGAATCTTCCTTCTCTCTCATTCTTCTCTCTTTCGGGACTCGTTCTCGGTCAATTCAATGCGCCCATAGTTGGTTGGTTGCAACTCCAAACTAGGACCACGTCCTTGGAGCAGTAGCATAATTCTTCCCCCTCTCCCTCCCTCTCGTCTCGTCTCGAGGATAGGGAACGTTTTATGTGTCGAGGTCGCATTAAGAAGCCAGGTTAGACTAGATCCCTCCGGACAGTGCAAGGCATGTCCAGTTCAACACGGGAGTAAGAGAAGAAGATAAGAGAGGATCCTGTTCAGTTAGACCTCTAACCCCCTATATCCTTCATTACGAAGTTTGCATGAAACAAGCGAGGAAACAAGTTTAAAAAAAAGAGATAGACGTTCATTGACAAGGGTCACCCGGGGATCTCGAGAAAAGAGAATCTATAGAACAGGGGACCCTTGACCAATTTCCGTGGGCCCTTTATTAGAGACGAGGAGATGAAAAAAGAAAGTTCGCATAAAGGGCAAGTCAGGCCGACAATTCGACAAACAGATCAGAGAGATAGAGACGGGGACAAAGAGAGCATGGGCACACAGACTGACAGGCATGGCAGGTGTGAGGGGAAAGAAAAGAAAAAGGGAAGATGGAAGGATAGACGAGGGACGATGGGAAAGACGGCAGGGGAGGCGAATTGGAAATTGAGGCGTACATTTCGCTCGCTCTTTTTCCGTCGTTGCGCCATGCCATGCCGCGCCATTCCATTCCTTGGAAAAGAAAACAGAACGTTACTGGTTCGTTTCGTTTCGTCGCGTTGTTGTGTTGCGTGCGTTTCGTGCGTTTGAATGGAAACAATGCAAATAATGCTGGCCCCCCACGACATTTGTTTGAGTCCATTCTGCGACAATGCCCCTCCACGAGCCACGATTTGCGATTCTGCAGGAAAGCCATATTTTTTTTTTATGCATATCAAGCAATGGCCTCGAGACAAAAAGGGGATGAATCGCTCTGTTCATCCATTCCTCCCTCTCATCGAGGTCTATTCATGGCGCGGTTCCTTCTCTCTGTGTGTTCTATGATCTGCCTGTGTGCTTATCCAAAAAGGACCCGAACTAAAAACGACGTTCGTTCCTCCTTCTTCCTTCCTTGAGATGCGTTTTGATCATGCGTCCCTCCTTCCTGCCTTAGAGAGAAGGCGAAAAAAGAGACATCAAAAGGGGAGAGCGACTGATGAGAAAAGGAGAGATGCTGTTTGTTCCACTGATACCTCAACACAGAGTCAGACACAATAGGTAGGACATTAAAAAAACACGGAGCCATGGATTGACCCGACACGATTACATACAACAACAGGGAAAAAAAGGTGCGAATGACAAAACGAGCAGGAAGACCAAAAAAAAGGAGAAGGGAAAACAACAACAACAACAACAACAATGATCAAGCAAGAGGGCATATAAAAAAAAAAGGGAAGGAAGGGACGGAAATGAGCAAGGTAGACTCGATCGCATATCGCAAAAGTGAAGGGACGACAAAAAGAAAAAGGAGGGAGTGAAGGAAGGGTTGAAGTCGACAGTGAGTCGGAGAAACACAACATTCCTGACCATGCTGGACTCTATTGCTTGGCCTTTTGTTTATTTTGGCTCGATTGGACCCAGGCACAGAGCTACTGGACACACATGGATCACAGATAAAAAAAGAATGCAGTGTCGGACTATTAGGACTTCACTCATTCATGCCAACTGAAGATCAATAAAAAAAACGGACGAACGGTGTAGTTGTTGTTACTGAGTGAATGATGGCGATGACGAAGGAAGGAGGACTAACGACGACTATGCTGTACTACACCGAGTGGCGCACGCAGGCACACACAATCAGACGGAGAATATGAAAGACAGGAGAGAAGAGAAGAAAAGAGAAGACTAGATCCGACCCTTGGAGAGTCAGGTAGAAAAAGGATGATCTTTCTATGACTTCGCACTTGCAAGAAAAACTAATAGAAGAAAAAAAAGGGGTGACCATTCAATTAATCTTGGGTCCTTCTTTCTTTTTGCCATTGGCTTAGTGCGGTGTGGGGCAGGATATGTCGTTCATGTTGTACTCGTATAGTTGGTATCCTTGGTGGTGGTTTGTGTTCGTTCGTTCGTGGATGCGGTGTTGTCGTTGAACGAGTTGGAGGTAGATCAGTCAATCGTCCAACCTGCATGCCTCCCATATTACACCCCTTTCTTTTTTTGCCATCATCATCGCGTTTTTCTCATTTTACTTTTTTTTCCCTTTGAGCTGCTCTACCTAATCTCTATCGTCAGTCAGGATCGGGTGGAAAAAGAGCGGCTTTTGCCATGCCATTTCAATAAAAAAAAATAAAAAAAAGAGAGATGGAGAGAAACGACACCAAAAAAAGGGGCGGGTGACATTCATCCTCTCCAATGCTCCAATGCCAGAGCAGATCAGAGACAGTGTGTGCGAGTGTGTGTGTGTGAATGAAAGAGCGCGTCCATGCGTTTCTATTCCGACGTTATCTATCAAGAAGAGCATTAAGTACTCAATTGAAGGCCCTAGCTCTCATGCCTATTTCACCTTCGACTGCGAGTGGTTCAGTTCTATTGAAGCGTGGTTGTAATATCCTCAACTATTTCATCCTACAATGCAACTCGTGCTTTCCTCTCTCATTGTCTGTTATCTCTTCCTCCTCGTCGTCCTATGGACTTCTGTGTCAGGATCCGTTTTTTCCGCCCTCCTCCCCTCCTCTCCCCTCCTTTTGTGTCTTCTTCCTTGGCCATATTTTGTCTTTCCTACCTGTTCATTTCCGTCCTGTTTCAACAACAGTAGCAGTGTCATATTCTTACACTAACAGGCAATTAATGGGTCAATTAGCTCTTCCCTTCTCTGCTTCCCATGCCTTCTTTTCTTCCCATATTCTGCGACGCTGCCTCTTTGAAGGGAAGGTGGGAAAATGAAGGCAAAGAGGGAAATGGGAGGGAAATGGGAGGGAAAAGGATGATGAAGGCAAGGGTGGAAGCAAGCCAACAATTGGGAAACAATTGGGGCCAAAAAGTTATTTTTCCCGCCCGTGCCTCTTTTTGGTTTTCTTCTTTTTCGCCGATGCCTGTGCTTTTTTTTTGTGTGTCCCCGTGTGCAATGTTTTGATTCACTTTGTCCGACGCTTGTCCTCTGTGTTTTGCCCGCCCTCTTTCTTGTGCCTGTTCTCGTCGTCTTCGTGTTTTCTATTGCTGTTTTGTCTAATATCTTGTAGTTGAACCTTGTGCACCTCTTCCCCTGCCTACCAAACAATAAAAGTGTAAGCACGAGTGACTCAACAAAGAAGACTGCAAAATATTTCTCCTATTTCTTTTCTTATTCATTCACTTTCTCTTTATTTTTTCCCTATGATCTTCTCTACTGCGTCTTCTTTCCTTATGAGTCTGAGTAAGAGATGGGGTGAAAAGTAGAAGTATGAGAACGAGAACGAGAACGAGAAAAGGAACGGAGAGAGGATGGGCCGAGGCAAATAATTCTTTCTGTCTGTCGGAGAGGGTGGTGTTCATTTCATGCAAACGATAAAAAGTTTATGTGAGTGCGTGTGTCTGTCCATGTCAGTCAGTCCCCCGTGTTTTTATCATCACGAACACATACTCACACACATCAGCACCACCCCTTTGGTTTGTCTCTTGACACCAACCTGTATGGTCGTTGGAATGAAGCGTATTCTACGAAGGCAATGAATGAATGGATTGATATGAACAAAGCCCGCGGATACTCTTCACAGGTGGTTGGACTATTCTTTCTCTCTCTTTTTTTTTCTAGGTTCCCATCTGGACCAACTTTGCTCTCTCTCTTTTTTTTTCTCTTCCCTTCTGCTCACCTCTCTTCCCTTCTGCTCACCTCTCTGCTCTCCGCCTCCTTGAAGTTGTTACTCCTGACGATGCTGTCATCCTTTTTTTTTTCTTCTTCTGTCCACCTTTCAAGCCGATGCTTGGCATTCAATACCCATCAGCAGTTCAAAGGGCGAAGGGAGAGAGAGCGTGGGGAATGAACTGAGTGAGAAGCGAGAAAAAGCAATAGATGGACAGCGAGACAGACAGATATGTAAGAAATGATGTCCAACAGAGCTGCACGTAATATGAGTAGATGAAAAATGTAGTTGTCTGTCTACACACTAGCAGACCCAGAGAGAAGAGAGAGAGCAAAGGTAAATGGGTACCATATCGCAAAGTGGACAAGTAGACGCATATACATGTCCATGTACTCGTTGGCATGTACATGCGTGCACATATCCATATCCATATCCACATCCACATCCACATCGATACACCCGTCTGACCTGACCACCATCTCTATCCTGCTCATCCACATTGCTCACGCTCACTTGTTTCTACATAGTTGATGAAAAATGCACATTGACCAAGGGTGAGGTACAGTACGAGGAGGATGAGGTACAGGGGTAACTTACAACATATCTCATACGACTACTTGAGACGAGATAATAGAACTAGAATAAATTAATTTAAAAATGAACACACGTACCACATTAAAACGTGAGTGAGCACCCACATCCATTCTTTCATTCATTCATTCACTACCCCATTCTCTACAATTTCTGTTCGAGAACAACCCTATTCCATTCAACCCAACCACAAGTAGTAGAGACCGAGGAATTATGGGTGAGGAATAGAGTTGGAGAAAGAGGAAAAGAGAGAGAGAGAGAGAGTGGTCAGTCATTAGTATCATCGTTCATGATTCAGTTCATGCTATTGCTCCACATTACAACAACTAAGAGGAACAACCCCTTTCATTCCAGTTGGCATCATCGTTGCTATTCTTCAAGTCGTTGTCAGGTAAGAGAGTTGTTTGTCTCTTTGTCTTGTCTATGTTCGTGTGTGAGAGAGGAGTGAAAGTGGGAGTTGAGAGTGTCAGTGTGCCCCCCTCACCCCTTTTCTTGTTCTGTTGCTGTTTATTACTCAACTGTCAACAACAACAACAACAACAACAACAACTAAAAGTGCCAAGGTGGCATAGCGCAACTGAATAGCTCTTCGCTCCATTTCAATTCAATTGAATGAATGCAATACGAATTATCCAATTTCCACCTGTTAGTCGATAGACCATGAACCTGATGCCTGACAATACTTTTTTTTTTTCATCGCCCTTTTCTTTTCGTTTTCACTGGCAAAATAAAGGGGCCTGTTGCCAGGTCCATTTCTCTCTTACTTTGAGACAAGACAAAGTGGTATAAATACCAGTGCCTTCGCCTCTTTATTTTCTTTTTTTTTTCACTCACTCACCCACTCATCCTACACTCAACGGACCTCCATTCCTCCACACCTCCATACCTCTGCTGGTCATATTCCTATCATCGACAGCTCTTAACAAACCACCTCACTCTTCCATACCACAGACCACATTTTCGGTCGTTACTGTCCTTCTCTCTTCTTACTTGCACCAATATCGAGGGCACATCTCTTCTCTTATAAATAGCTATCACCTCTACTTCTTTCTCTCTCCACATCAACTCTTTCTTTCTCCCTTCTTCTACCCTCTTCCCTCCACCCTTACCCTTCCACAACTACAAACACAATGGAGTACTCAAAAATGCCCAATATCCAGACTGCCCTCCCTCACTTCCGCGACTCCTTCCCCTCCCCATCCTACGTTACTCCTTCCCAGAAAACATACATCGCTCCCCTCTCTGCCTCCTCCCTTCAACAATACAACTCTTCCAACAACAAGCGCAAAGCCATCCACCAAGAAGATGATGATGAAGATGACTTCTACCACGAACGGGACTCGAACAAGCGCATGATGATGATGTTGTCCCACCACAGGGGATCCTTCTCTTCGACCCGTCAACGCCAAGAATCCGGCTGCTCTGTTTCTTCGACGAGCTCGTCTTGGTCTTCTTCTTCTTCGTTTTCCAACATCTCGACTGCTTCCGTCTCCAAGAGTCCTAGCCTTTCCAGCTCGCCTAGTTTGTCCCCTGTCGAGATGGATGAGTCCTCTGGACTGCCAGAGTTCAACCCCCTTTGGCACTTGTGCGATGCGATCGCCCTGATCTCTGAGCCCACTCCTTCCTCTACACCAGCAAAGAAGACAACCGTTGCTGCCAAGAGCCCCAAGTCAGAGGACAACAGCCCATACGGACTCAAGATTGTGTTTGTCGCACCCAATTGGTTGGCAGAACACATGGCCAAATCCAAGAAGGCTGCAGCCATGAAGAAGCTCCACTCCCTTGCTTAAGTGGCTTCCTTTCATCCCTTGTTTCCTTTTTTTCTTCCGATTGTAACTTGCCGTTATACTTCTCTGTACATACTTTTTCTCGCTCAACCATTTGTATTATCAAAAAGTGCTTTGCATACCACTTGCGCTCTCTCTCACCGTACCATATCCTCTTCCAAAGTCATTTTTGCATATCTCTCATCCACACACAACACTTCTGTACTTTGCCCTTTTGCGCGTGAACACCCCACTCCGCGCACGAGGAAAACAACAAAAAAGACTCAATAAACAAAAATGAAAAATATTGACCATAAAGTTCCTTTTGCTTACTATGCATGTTTGTCTCTTGTTACATAAGAACAAAATATCGAGAAAATGGCTTTGTTTATTGTTATGATGATGTTATGAGATTGAGGGTTGTATGTTGGTGCAACACATGCTTTGGTTCAAAACAAAAGCACAAAGAGGACAAGAGTAGAAATGCAATGAACCACAAAAGGAAGCAGAGGAAGGTCCGAGTGGTAAAGAAATGGCGCATAATACATGAACTCCGAGTGGACTGGTGAGGACTGGTTTACTTTGCTAAGGTAAAGTGGGTATAGTGCGCAAGGTATCGTATATTCCTTTCTATCCTGACACAACAAACAAACAAACAGCGCACCAAACAACAAACAACAGGTAGACAGGCAGATGGAGAAGAGTAGAAAGGACGGAGAACAAAAAAAACCAGGTCAGCCAGCTATAGCCCTTTTGTCTGTCTTTCCCCCCTTCCTCAGACTGTTTTAGGACGTGGAGTGTTGTACTCTCTCCCCCAGTCCACCTCCTTTCGAACTGTTTTGAAGATATCCCCTATCGTACGACTCTCTCTCTCTTCAAAGGAGGTTGAACAGCTAAAGGGGAGAGAGAGAGGGAAGAAAGAGGGCGGAACAAGAAGATGAAGGAGAGCCATGACAAAAGAGAAATGTGGAAGAGGTGGACAGGGGGTACTCTGATCGGTCAGGGCAAAGAGGATGCTGTTTGCAGTTCTCAGTCCACCACACCTACACCACCCCTCGAACACCCGCTCTCTGTTCTACGCCATCCATGGTCGACATGCTATCTATCTAACAATATGGGAAAGAAGGAAGGGAGGACCCATCATCCTCCTTTACTTTTTTTTGCCCCCCTGTGTATGTAATGTAGCGACAGACAGCAATGCACGAACATTCCTGAGTCTGTCAGTTGATCCATATTTTATTTTATTTTGCAGGAGAGGGGTAGGCCGGAGAAAGAGAGGGGCACAGATAAACGAGTGAAGACAAAGAGCCTTGTAATATTTTGTTCTCCCACCCTGCACCATCTATTCACCTTGTTATCTCTACTTTTTTTTCTCTTTGGCCCCTTTTCTTTTGTTTGTGTTTGTTGAACCCATGCAACACACCTTGCGTGTGTGAATAGATTGGACGGGTTTCAACTCCCTCCCTCTTTCGTCTTGGAAGAAGGAAAAAAGGAAGCCAAGAGAGAGAGAGAGTGAGAAAGGTGAACAGACCAATGGCGGGTTGGGAACGCGCACTGATCCCTTTCTTCTCTTTGCGTTCCTCTTTCGGAAGGTGGGATCGATGATAAAGCCCACATGTAAGGAAGAAAGTATGGATGGACATGGATGGGACGAAAGGGAAGTGATCAATAGAGAGAACCCGCATGAGCGACTCGACCTTTTTGATATAACAGAGTCCATACCTTTCTTTCTTTTTTTTTTTTTTTTTTTTGGCCAGTATCGAGTTCCTCTGTTCATTCCTATGAAAATAAAGCACGCGCCCATTGGTGAACAAAAAGGAAAAAAGACAGGTTGGCCGGAGCAAAAGAATCTTAGATAAATGAAGCGTGTGCACGCATGTTTTCATCCACGGATCAAACCAGGGACAAAAGTGCCAAGGAAAATGAGAAAATCATAGTTTGTTGTTGTTCACCATCCATGCGGACACCAATGCTTTGTCCAAGGACCCAGATGACCTTGACCACCTTCCCTATTCCTCTTAGCCTTATTCCTTTATGGATGATCATTGCTTTGCCATACGCTGCCCAATGCTACTACTGCTGCCATTGTTATCTGCTTATCTCTTTATTACTCTACTAGAGAAAGCCCTTTGTATGCCAAGCACAATGCAGCTCGCATTGGTATGTGTGGTAGGAGAGGTGGAGCGAGCAAACGTGTCGCCTATATTTTCCACATCATCTGAGAGTCTCCTCGCTTTTTTCATTTTTCCTCTTCCCCCCTTCACTCACAACCCCTCTTACACCTCTTGACCTCCCTCTCCTCGACCCCTCATCCCACATTTGACCTGACCAAGGCAGCAATAGTTTTCTTCACCTTGTCCATGGCCCAAAAAAAAAAGAGCACGCATTTCATTTGTTTTCTTGCCTCAGCAGAAAAAAGCATGCTTGCTCCACATGGCACATGAACAATGGATCGTCATAATTTTGCCATCCAGGGGAGAGAACAAGAGAGACTACACAACTAGCATGGATGGACAATACGAGAGCGAGGCATGTTGGAGGGACGAGGGGGGCACGATAGACAAAGCACCTAGACCCAACCCAGTTGGTTAGCCTGTCGCATGGCAAAGACATACCCTCTCCCCTGTCTTCGGAGGATGCCCGCTTTTTCAACTGTCTATCTCCTGAATGTGGTTTGTCAAGGTTTGCCCTTTCTTTGCATGATTTTTTTTTTCATTTCCGTGTCTGTTTGGATGGATGGTGTCTCCTCTCTCTCCCCTTGATTTTTTTTGTCTTTAATATTAGGAGCATGTACCCGGCTTACGAACTCACAGGCTGGAGGAGGGATGGAGAAAGGCTAGCTTAGTGAATGAAAAGAGATGAACAAGCCTAACTTCAAGACCAAAACCAAGACCAAGCCCAAGTCTAGCCCACATTTATTTTCAGGTTCCTTCTTGCCTTTGCTTCACTTTTTTTATGGCCTTTTTCATGCATGCCTTCTAGACATGCGATATACGACGAAGGGGAGGGACACCGAGAAATCGAAAGAAAAGTGCAATGAAATTTGACTCACACAGGGGTCGCCAAATTTCACTGACTGATAGCAACCATAAAGAGAGACAAATAATAATAGTAAAAAGACTGTTAACAAATTGAAGATACGAATAATAACGTTGTGGAATGAAGATGATTCCATTTTATTTTAGTATATTAGCCTTGCCTTTCGTTCCCCACTGCCTTTCTTTTTTTTTTTTTTTTTTTTCTTCCGTCCGTTGCTCTGACCTTCTCCAGTTCACGTCTGTGGGTTGGTTGACTGGTACTAATGAATAGAAATCCAAAAACAATGAGACGACAAAAAAAACCAACTAAACAATAGATACGTATCTGTCACCGTAACTTTGTCTGTGTGACATTGCGTACAAATTGCAATTGAGTTTCCCTGGTAACATGTAAAAAAAACGTATCGGATAATATCGATTCTTTGCAGAAATATTGAGAGCATATTCGAACGATCGAAACTAGTACATCTGAGAGCGTGTGGATATGAGTACGTTATGAAGGTTGGGGGGGGGGGGGGGGGGGACAGAAGCCATGTCGGGAGGCGGTCAGGTGAGCAGATATTAGGTTACAGGGAGAGGGTATGTACAGTACTTTCTGGAGGCGAAAGTGTTTGAGGTGCGTGCCTGTTATTGGAGGTGTCTGGTGCGCTGATTAATTGTACTTTATTTGTCTTGCTGATGAAACACACGGTGAACAGACGCGTGACAGGAACGCGAAATGTAATTTAGAAGAGGAACGCGCTGGCCGTTCCTTTTGGTAAGGAGAGAAAAAAAGAGAGGTACACAATCTTATTTTCTTTATATGTACGAGTCTGTTCTGTGAGGGGTGTACATGTATCATACAACGCGTCGGGTGCATATAACCGGTGTTTCCATTTTGTCAGGCGAGAGGTACAACTTAATATGACTTGAAGATACAGCACATATCAAACGTGAGCAGGAAGAAAGGCCTTCCGTTTTTATGTTTCGTGCGGTCGGCTGATTGTCTTTTTGTCACGCCAAGGTGAACAGATTCTTGCCGAACGAGATAACCTTTTGATGTCCTATGTAGTTGGAGGAGAGGGCATATGAGTTTTCATCTTTGATACGAGACTATGCCAGTCCCGAGACGTTCTCAGCGTATTACTCAAGCGCGTGTGCACAGAAGGAAAAGCCAGTAGCAGTTTATTAAATAAACGCCTATCTTACTCTATGACTGACGGCCACCTGTTTTCCCGTCTCTCACGAGAAGGAAGGAAACAGTGGACGAGTTTGGTTGCTTCTTGGGCGATGCGTGCTCATTGGTAGGTGATATGGTGCTTCTTTTTACCTGGAGTGAGAAAGACCAGGAGAAAATGTACAGCCAGGTGTACTCGTCGACACGTTTGTCGAGATCACATGCTCATTGTTCTTAATTTTTGCCACCAATTCGAAAAACAGTGCCTCAGCCAGGCTTTCGCTTCTCTTCAGTTTCATTCATAATCAATCCCCTTGTCTTCCCACCTTCAACATCGTCCTTGCTCTTACCTCTCCCATCATCCCTGCATCGCCAAGGGTTCAAGCCCTCCAAGCTGGCGTCGCACCAAGACATTGTCAACCAAGAATCCTCATTCACCTCTGGGCCGGCTGCCCAGTTCGCTTCCAAGGAGAGTACCATGATTCTTGCTCTCTTACATATAATGCAAATGTGAAATCTATATCCATCCATCATGATATCAAAGGAGGTGTGTTTCCAATGTGTATCGGCTTGGGCCATCTCCCACACGTTCCACGTTTCACGGAGCCCCATTCGCTCTTTGACGGTTGGAGTGCATGTGTCCATTGTTTCGAACCCAAGCCGTCTTTTCACGCGAAGGGTGCTGTTTGAAAGTATTCGAGTTTGGTCAAAGGTACAATCGGCAGTAATCTGTGGGGGCGAATCTCTTGGGTTCCTTGGCCGATACAACACTGCTATGCGCTATGGAGCCTGGGAAAGCTGAAAGCCGATGCATACTAAAGTTGGGCACATCTGCAGCTGGATCGAAAGACGAATGACCCCAAGTCTTTTTGATTAGTTCTCCTTTGACTATTGTGAGGGGTGTTAAGTTCGATCATGGCGTTTGGTTGTTTGTGTGTTCGATATGTCTCTCAGTGTTTTCTAACCTTTTCCTCTCGTTGACTGTCACCGTTTTTTAATAGAGCTGAAGGCCTTCAAGTATAAGACTTTCAAAGACAAGACTTTTCTGCATGTAGGTTGACGTATTTGACAAGCATGGAGATGGAGCAGAGAGAATTTGTTGGTCTTATTCAACACCGAGGCGGGCATTTGATTGTCCTTCCATCTATTTCTCTCCATAAGGCGATGCGGGTGTGGGATGCAAGAGACAACAACCTTCTGAACCTCGATCTAACCATTTTCTATCATCTCTTCTCGTTCATACTCGAGGTAGATATAATGCTAAGGATATCAAGAAATATGAGGTAATACAAGAAGCAGTAACTCAAGGATAGCAAAGCCCATGGATTCCAAAGACAGGACGAGAGTACAATAGCAGGAAGAGTTGTTTCAATAAAGTCGACGTTGTTTTCACGTAAATCAAATGACGATGTTCAAGGAATAGGCTCAGAATCACACACCCATTGCTATCCGAAAGGACTCAGTCAAAAGGATGCATACTTTCCATAGACCAATTCTCGTCGAATACAATACGGGACAGGGAATCACCAAGAATCAAGGTGGATGCAGGAAATAAGGGTCATATACTATCTCTGAAGGTCTTGAGCACCAGTGGGTCAGAGGAATGAGCGCCCTGGCTCTGGTCAATTCCGAAAGTCGTCTCGATGACTTGCAGTGGACTTGCTGATTAGTAGAGAAAACTGAAAGAAGAGGAATAAAGATGAGACAGGGAAGGAACAGGACAAAGGAAAAGAGAGGTAAGAGAAGAAAAGCGCAACTGAACTACAAAGGAGAGGCGTGTGTGGCAAAAAATGGGATTGGGGTTAAAGGAGGGGAAGAGAGGAGAGGTCAAGACAACTGAGGTAAGGAAACAATAGAAATAACGTGGGGCGTTGAAAAAAGGAACATTACTGTAGACTATGGTTTCTTCCAACACCTGGCGATATGATTCATCCGCAGCGACATTGGCGCGAGGCTGGATTGTTGGATCATCGGGTGTTGGAAGAAGAGACGATGTCGAATTCCGCTGATGGCTGCTTAACTACAACTGACAATGGTGCGAACGTCTTTGAAACATTGCGAGTTGTGGTATTGTTGGTATCGCGAAGCACCTGCCTTTTCTTGGGGATCGAAGATGACACAGACGACGCCTTTTGTTAGTGAAGTCGATATCATCAGAGTCACTCACTTGTTTACCAACCATTGTGTGTAGTTTTGCATTTGGAGTTTCCTGAACATCAGGAATGACAGATTCGCCACTATTGTTCTAATTGGGTGTGTGGTCCACGCAATGACGTGGGGTGCAAAAGTGCAAGAAGATACACATGAAGAGAGACGCCAGTGTCCTGAACGAGAGTACGAAGAAAGAAGGAACGATCCAGAACCATTTACTGCTTGTTGATATTTATTTTATATATATTCTGCACAGAGAGTGCCGGTCAATACTTGTTCGCGGTGGAAGAAAACATGCATTGCTAAGTGGTCAAGCGTCGCCTTACCAGAGTGACAGAGAGAGAGAGGGAGGGATTACTTTTTGGTTGTTTTATTGTTGCTCTTGGTCCGTTGTGGGCAAACGCTTGGGAGACTAGAAACGATAATGAACGTGTTGATATCAGATGAAGGGAGCACGCGCTAAACAAAATATTAATAGCTTCTTATTGTTCGCCAGCACAGCTTTCTCAGGATGAAAAGCAATAACGTACCTGGTGGGAACTTTTTGTTTTGTTTTGTTTTTTGGGTGTTGGCTGGAAAGGAAAATGAAAAGGAGACAGGAAGGTAATTGCTTTTTGGGTGGACAGGGTAAGACTGGTTGAAGGGCGAAGAGTTGAGGTTATGATGTGATTATCAGTGAAAAGCGTGGTATGTGAGCCGGGGTATTGGACGTGGGGGGGGGGGTTGTACCTTTTCAAACTTAGGGTACACGGTACTTGTTAGGTACAAGACGGACAAACACACAGGAGGGCGATTGACTGAGCGCGGGGAAGGTGCAGAGAACTGAGAAAGAGAACGTTGGGCGATGGACGGATGTTGGAATGACCAACAGGTGCTAATGTGGGCAAGGTACAATGAAGGAAACGGAGACTGATGATGAAGACGAATGAATGAGGTGGGTGTACTGGGAGGGATCAAGGTGAGTGTTGCAAGGAGGAAAAACAGAGAGGGAGCAGAAGAAATAAAGTAAATAGAGAGATGCCCTATGGTATGCATGTAAGCCTTCGTTTTTTTTGTTTGTTTGTTCTCTGACAGGATGCACTTTTCCTTTCTTGACGAATCTTTGATTGATTCCTTGCCATGCCCTGGGTATACATTTACACGTATGCTTGCGTCCTTTTTATGCTAATTCGTCTGAGGGATGACTCCTGTTGGCGCTCTCCTGTTGCTCAGAGAAGAGACATATGTTCTCCATGGTTATGTTCACCATTATCAGGCATGTCCACAGTCAGAGTCTTGAGGTTCTTGTGCAAAGACGATGAAAGCATTGACTTTATTGAGATAGCCATTCTATCTTGGTTTATGAATCATGTCTTTAGTTTTCCTTTTGTGGTTTTCCTGTGGTGTTGTCCCATCTGTCCGAGTGTCCTTTGCGTATTTTCTGGAGATGGTAAAGGACATATCACCGGGCACGCAAATGTACTTGTCCTGGACATCCATACCCGCATCTCCTGTAGACCGATTATTATTCAAAGTCATATACTTTTCACAAACTAGCACCAGTTGTTCGGTTGAGAGGCGAATCGGGTGACTGTCATTGGGGAAAGTGCAGCACGGGCGATCAAAGGGAAGAGTAAAGGGATTTGGGGGACAGCCCAAATGTAATGAGCTCTAGAAGGAAGAGTGAGAAGAGAAGGGATAGATAGATGAAGGTCCACTGGAAGATGGACATGAAGACAAGGAAAATATAGGAAAAGAAAGATATATTTGTGGAGAACGGAAAAGAACTGAAGGTAATTCAAAGGAAATGTTAGTTATTTATATTGAGGTGCGGTTCGGCTATAAGTCCCGGGGGGTCGGCGTCGAGGGGTCGGCCGAGTATCAGAGCCCTCGAGAGAGCTTTCGAGACGGGGGCCGCTGGTGCCGTCAGAGCATCAGTGTCGGCCCGGCGGACCGAAGTGTACCGCGACTCAGGATCCTAGGGAACGGCAGGGGACGTGGTGACCAGATAGACTATAGGTGAATCTGCTTAAGGGGAAGCAGGGAATCCTAAGTTCCTAACACAGGATCGTCACCTATTTGACCACTCGAGGGCAGCACTGTTCAGCACAACGAACCGATGTCCACATTCACTCCAGAGCGCACTACCGAAGAATCATCCAGGGCAGCGATGCTGCAGTCATCCTTAATCCCGGTGTGTGCTTGGATTGAATGTGGAGATTACAAAAGAAAAAGGTGAAGTCGTTAGAGAAAGGGCGAAACATGCATTGCACTTGAGGGGAGAAAATAAATGAAAAATGAGAGTGATACGTAATGGTCGATAGCTTTTCTAGGTTGCAATGGCAACTCATTGTGCTGTCATTCATTGACGATTGAGACCTCCCAATGACGCATTGTCGATAGCTCTCTATCTTTTTTTCGTGAGGGTATTTGTTTGAGGACCACATCGGAGATTGTGCAATATGATCTCTTCACTTGTCTCGTTGGTATGGAGTCGCTGTTATTTTTTATTCGTCTTCATGAACCCACGGAATGATTGATATGGATGATGAATTTTCTACTATCCCTCCTCCCCCTCCATAGTCCCTTTAGGTCCTCCTCTACGAATCCTGCGACGCTTTCTCTAGAGAATAGGTTCTGTATTAATCCTCTTGTTGCGTGCAAGGTTCGAGGTTGAGTCGAAGGGCGCAAAGGGCTTTGTGTGAGTTAAAGGACATGCTCACTCTCGTCTGAAAGTCTTGCATATTGTATGTTGACATCCCGTTCCGCTCAAGGATTGTTTAGTAGCGACAACAAGGTCTATGCAGCTTTTCTATTTAAAGTTTCAGGTCTAGACGCCTAGCCCCCAGGGTTCAAACTATTCTCTTTGTTGTCAGCCCCACCTTTATGTCTCGAAATAGGGTAAGAGGACGAGGAAAGGGCAATAACTCCAGATCCAAAAATCTTGTGGTATGGTTAGAGGAAAGAAGATATGAGACTGTTTTAGGACCGAGTGTATTTTCGTTGTGTTTCCTGGACCTCCGCCTATGGTACCTTCTGACTTCAAAAATAGCACCGCCCGAACAACCAAACATCCTCTTTTGGTCATGACCTTCGCTGCCACAACACATAAAGAGGGGAAAGGAGAACGAATGATATTCTAGTCCTCTGTGGATTACCGCCGAGTGTAAGAAAAGATGTGGCTGTGGAAGACGCAGAGTCTGACAAATAACCAAACAAAAACGAGACGCTTTGCTGTCTACTTCGTCGGGGCCTCCAAGGAAAGATAGTCGTGCCTGACATGCACCTTGCTTTTGAATAAATACCTCTAATAGTCTTACACAAAAATTTAAAATAAAAAACTACCCATCAAAGTCAACACTCCTCACTCAGACTAACACCCTCCCTCTAGATCATCTTCTCCCTTCCATTCACAAAGACAGAAATGCTTACATCGTCACTCAAGAGCCTAGTCCTTTCGGCTTCAATTGCCGTTTTGGTCACATTCGCCAATGCTGCCCCTGCACCTAGACCTCCACCAGTCAGCCACCTCGACCCCTGCGGAATTCTCGGCGCTAAGAAACCCTCTGAGATCACCTACCAAAATATCGTCAATTGCTACCGCGCCGTCCCTCTCAACAGTGCTTACGCTGCTGCGACTTTTTCTACTGTCCACACACTGTTCAACGAATTCTACATCTTTAAGGATTCAGCCATGATCCCCCATCTCCAGGCACCCTTCTCCAGTCCCTCAATTGACATTATCAAGAAACTAGAGACGATTGGAAGGACCAAGTATACTAGTGACTACAGGTTCCATGACGACATCCGGAAGGCGATTAATTCTTTGTACGATGCACATTCCAGTTACAATGGTAAGTTACTTTGGTGAGATCTTAGTCTTTTTCATAGCTTGTTGGTACACCTGCATAGGCGACAGGAGTACTAACTTATGGATTTTGTTGTTCTTTCTTATTTAGTCGACTGTTACTCACAATACTACTTCTTACAGAGTCTTGCGTTGTACGCTCCTGTCATCAATAATGTCCAGGTAATACGAGCACCCTTCGAATTTATTCCCGGTTGCTCTATCACTGCGCACAGTTTGTTTACATCGTTTTTTTTTAAAAAATCCTGTTTGTCATCGTTAGACCGTTCGCGTCTTTTTCGACTCGGCAGCCGGTCCACAGCGAAAATACGAGAACTGTCTCGTCCGCACCATCAACGGTGTTGACGCCCTGACATACCTCAAGACCTGGGCCGATGAAGAGCTCAACATCTCGCACGATGCCGGTGTCCGCCTCAACGCCGCCCTCAGTTCCCAGTATTTTGATATCAAGACCAGGACCTTTAAGAACGCCGACAGTCGATTCGGCGTTCGGGCCAACTTACCCCCTACCGCGACTATCAAATATGAAATCCAGTGTGGCCAAGCCAAGCCTGTTGCATTGGAGGAGCCCTGGAGAGTCCTGTCTCTGGTCAAGGGCAAGTTCCATGATGTCAAGTCATTTGTGGAGAATACCTGTGCACCTCAGACGGCGCCTGCCGGTTCCGCCGGTGGTGAGAATACCCTACGTGATGTTGTCAATGGTCGTCTCCTACATATGAAAGAGGAGCCTGCTCATTACAAGAGGTACCTTGCCTATAAAGAGCGTCTCGTTGCTGAAGCGGAGGCTAAGGCTCATAAGGATGCCGCCCCTGCCCCAACTCATGCTCCAACTCCACCCAAACAACAGTTCCCTGGCGCTGATTTGCTCGGCACCGGTAACGGCACTGCTTTCTACCACCTCAAGTCCCAGCCTGATGTCGGTGTCCTTGTCTTCCATACCTTTGACGCAGATTCCGAGTACGAAGTACCCAATCTGATCAAGGGGCTCAAAGCCTTCCACGACCTCGGAGTGACCAAGCTGGTGATTGATTTCCAGGGTAACCCTGGCGGGTACGTCAACCTTGCGGCCAACACCGTCAACACCTTTTTCCCCAGCAATGAGTTCTTGGCCACCAACTTGGCGTCCGATCTTCGAGTCACCCCTGTGATCCAACAGCTTGCCGCTGCCTCGTTTGGCCTTACTGGTGGTATCTATGACGCTGCTCAGTACATTGATTTCGACAACAATAATCAAGCCTACACCGACGACAGTCTCTTCTTACAACCCGTCACTTACACCCGCGGCGGTCGCACCTCCCAGTATACCCAGAGAACCACCGCTACCGATGCTTTGGCACCCACCGACCCAGCCCTGGCAACCTTTGCATGGACAAACAACGCTGCCAACATCCGCATCCTGACCGACGGTCGCTGCGGATCTTCATGCGCGATTGTCGCACACCACTTGACGAACGTCCACAAGGTCGAGGCATACGCTATCGGCGGTAACTACGGTAACTCCCTGTCGACGTACTCCTTTGCTGGCGGTACCGTTTCTGATAACAAGAGGATCAACGACTTCTTTGAAGATGCCAAGATCGCCAGCCCTCTCAAGCCTCTTCCTTACGCTTCCACAATTGGGCTGCCAATCCTCGAGATCTATGCTCACGGTAGCGCAGTTCCATTGGAGTATGATGCTGCGCTCTACCCTTCCGCGTACCGGATGGCGTATACCGATAGCAACTCACAAGATCGCCTTGTCATGTGGGACGAGGTTTCTTCTCATGCTTGGAGCACGTAAAGTGCGAGGGCTCTTTTATAGATCCTTTTTTTGTTTGTACAGTAACATATCCTTTTTATCTTGCTTCCATCTTTGAAGCAGGTTGTTCATAGAGCTTTCTTCTATCATTTTTTGTATCTGTCTATAACGGAAATAAGTAAACATACCAATTCCAATTGTAGTCCAGTTTGTCTACCTTCGTTCTCTTTTTGGCAGCTTCGACCTATCTCTTTCTTTTCGCTCCCCCTTCTATTGCGACCGAGTGGATGAAAAAGAGGCGTTGGAGCTCAGTAGGCAGCAACAGCAACTACTGCCCCGACCAGCTCCTGACAAGACGAAGAGGACCTCCCGATCCGCTCCTCTACCCCTTTGTTCTTCATCGAGATACGGCTGACTTTGACCCCTTTTTTCTCGAGACTCCATGAGCACTCCTTTTTCACTGCCAGTGAGGTGATGATATTCAAAGAAGACATCCTTTATTCAACCAGCTTGTCCTTTTTGCTCTGTTACAGCCCCTTGTCATTGGCATGGAGTGACGTTTTGCATGAGTTAGCCATCATCCTTCCTTTTCCGATTGTTTTTCACTTTTTCGTAACCGGGTTGTTATTCAGCGACCTCTTTTCTATCAGACTGCACTCAAACACCTCTACCCAGAGCCTGTTTCTGTGTTTGCCATCCCCGCTCATTAACATGAAAAGTGGATGATGGAGATGGCAAGAGAGCTACACTGAAAAGAAGGGGAAGATTTTCCTGTCACAATTTCACGTACAACATCCTCACACTCTAACTATGGGTGGTCAGGCAGTAAGTCATGGTCTACATGACGAACAGAGATGGCTCCAAGGGGTTTGCATATATGAGATCGAAAGGATGGAAATCGTGTACTGATAATGAAGTACAGTACACTCCTTTGTATTGTTGTGCGCTGAGCCTCCTATGCCTCTACCAGTACGACGTATGTCGGTTAGGTCGAAGAAGGGTGAGATGGCGATAGTCAATAGTCATGAACTGGGCGCTGGGCTAAGCCAAACGTTCGATACCCATCTACTTTTGCCGCACTTTGCATCCCGCAACGTTTTTTTTTGTCTGTCTGTCTTGCAAGGATTATGGACCATGGTGATCTATCAAAAGCGGGATATCAAAGAGGAACAGAGTAAGGTTTACCCTCCGTTCTGCACAGCCATTGTCCATCGACTTTCTATCATACACACAACAAGAAAATGAATGGTTGCTCTATGTATTTTTTTACTCCAGCCCTGCAGCTGTTAACCTTTTCTTACTTTCTTGATTTTTTCTTCCCAGCACCAAACCTTATAACTTGAATTAGGAAAAGCAAGGAGGAGGAGAAAAAAAGCGAAAGGCGAGGATTACAAGCGAAAGAGACACAAAGGGGTTCTAAGGGTATGCTCTGACTCTTCTTTTCTACCTCCAGGTTGCGTCTTTTTTTTATTTAGGAAACAGTAAAAAACGGAAAGGTGGGGAAAGGCCAAAAGAAAAGGTTTGCTGGTGAACATTTTTCTGTGCCTGTGCCTGTAAAAATAGCACCGCCGCGTGGTCAAAAACCCTTCACCGCCACATCACCAATGGAAAAATGGAGCGGAAAGGGCTTAGGTGGCGACACGCAACGGTACATAGGAAAATGTGGCTGATGCAGGCGCAATGCCTCTACAAAGCATGGGGGTGAAGATTCACACCTCATCAACTATGTCACTTCTTTACCCGGCAATACCTACTACCTTCACACCTCTGATCTCTACTTCCTGGGGTGTGCAACAAAAGCGAAGCAGGGGGGTGATCTTCTTCTCACTTTTGAATAAATAGCCCCAATAGAACCCAAAAAAAAAGACTGATCTACCCATCGAAGGCACTCCTCTCTCTCTCCCTCCACCCCACTCACCAAACATAACCAACAAAAACATAATCACCACCAACAAAGAAATAACAACACACATACACAAGGACAGAAATGCTTACATCGTCATTCAAGAGCCTAGTCCTCTCGGCTTCAATTGCCGTTTTGGTCACATTCACCAATGCCGCCCCTGCACCTGGACCTCCACCAGTCAGCCACCTCGACTCCTGCGGAATTCTCGGCGCCAAGAAACCCTCCGAGATCACCTACCAAGACATCGCCAACTGCTATCAAGCCATTCCTTTCAACAATACCAATGCAGCTGCGACCTTTTCGACCATCTACACATTGTTCAACGAGTTCTACGTCTTCAAGGACGCGGCCATGACCCCCAATCTCCAGGCACCCTTCTCCAGTCCCCCAACGGACATTATCGGAAAGCTGGAGGCGATCGGAAGGACCAAGTATACTAGCGACCACAAGTTCCACACTGAGCTCCGTCGGGCAATTAATTCCTTGTACGATGCTCATGCCAGTTACAATGGTAAGTTTCTTTGGGGACATTTCTCGTTTTGGTGTAGATGGTGTATACGGATGGGTTATGAGTGCTTCCGTGCTAATATGATGGACCTCTGTTTTGTCTTGCACTTTTCTTTCTTTCTTTCTTTCTTTGTTTAGTTGACTGTTACACACAATACTACTTCGTGCAGAACCTTGCGTTGTACGCTCCTGTCATCGATGATGTCCAGGTAAGACACGTAATTCTGGTTTTTTCATTTCATTTTGTCCATACTTCGACGAACAAAGGACTGCGTTGTTAACACAGTATTCTTTTTCACCATGTCCTTAACTAGACCATCCGAGTCTATTCCGATATAGCCAAGAGCCCTCAGAGAGAATACGAGAACTGTCTCGTCCGCACCATCAACGGTGTCGACGCCCTGACATACCTCAAGACCTGGGCCGATGAAGAGCTCAACATCTCGCACGACGCTGGTGTCCGCCTCAACGCCGCCCTAAGCTTCCAGCGCTTTAACCGCATCACCAAGACCTTTCAGAACGCCGACAGTAAATTTAGCGTTCGGGCCAACTTACCCCCTACCGCGACTATCAAATATGAAATCCAGTGTGGCCAAGCCAAGCCTGTTGCATTGGAGGAGCCCTGGCGAATCGTGTCCTTGGTCGAGGACAAGTTCACTGATGTCAAGTCGTTTGTGGAAAATGTCTGTGCAACAAAGCCCGAACCTGCGGGAGCCGAAGATGGCGCGAATGCCGAGCGCAATGGGATCAAGGGTGGCTTGATTCACATGAAAGAGGAACCTGCTCATTACAAGAGGTACCTTGCCTATAAAGAGCGTCTCGTTGCTGAAGCGGAGGCTAAAGCTCATAAGGATGCCGCCCCTGCCCCAACTCATGCTCCAACTCCACCCAAACAACAGTTCCCTGGCGCTGATTTGCTCGGCACCGGTAACGGCACTGCTTTCTACCACCTCAAGTCCCAGCCTGATGTCGGTGTCCTTGTCTTCCATACCTTTGATGCCCATCCCGAATACGAAGTACCCAATCTGATCAAGGGGCTCAAAGCCTTCCACGACCTCGGAGTGACCAAGCTGGTGATTGATTTCCAGGGTAACCCTGGCGGGTACGTCAACCTTGCGGCCAACACCGTCAACACCTTTTTCCCCAGCAATGAGTTCTTGGCCACCAACTTGGCATCCGATCTTCGAGTCACCCCTGTGATCCAACAGCTTGCCGCTGCCTCGTTTGGCCTTACTGATGGTATCTATGACGCTGCTCAGTACATTGATTTTGACAACAATAATCAAGCCTACACCGACGACAGTCTCTTCTTACAACCCGTCACTTACACCCGCGGCGGTCGCACCTCCCAATATACCCAGAGAACCACCGCCACCGATGCTTTGGCACCCACCGACCCAGCCCTGGCAACCTTTGCATGGACAAACAACGCTGCCAACATCCGCATCCTGACCGACGGTCGCTGCGGATCTTCATGCGCGATTGTCGCACACCACTTGACGAACGTCCACAAGGTCGAGGCATACGCTATCGGCGGTAACTACGGTAGCTCCCTGTCGATGTACTCCTTTGCTGGCGGTACCGTTTCTGATAACAAGAGGATCAACGACTTCTTTGAAGATGCCAAGATCGCCAGCCCTCTCAAGCCTCTTCCTTACGCTTCCACAATTGGGTTGCCAATCCTCGAGATCTATGCTCACGGTAGCGCAGTTCCATTGGAGTATGATGCTGCGGTGTACTCTTCTGATTACCGGATGGCGTATACCAATACCAACTCACAGGATCGCCTTGTCATGTGGGGCGAGGTTGCCTCTCATGCTTGGAGCACGTAAAGTGTGAGGGCTCTTTTATAGATCCTTTTTTTGTTTGTACAGTAACATATCCTTTTTATCTTGCTTCCATCTTTGAAGCAGGTTGTTCATAGAGCTTTCTTTTATCATTTTTTGTATCTATCTAGAACGGAATAAAATATACCATTTCTACTAAAACATGTGGAGCACCTTAGTGTGTGATGGCAGTAAAGGATAAACAACCTTTATTGGCCTGACTCTAGCTTTGAGCGATAGAATAAAGCACAATTGAAATTGAAAATAAGGAATTAGATGGATGTGCGTTTTTGATCTAGAACAGTATAATGATGTGAAAGTGATATACACTTCACCACGCTCTAAAGATTTTACAAGAACATCAAATCAAGGTTTCACAGCAAACACAGTGTAACAGATGGCAGAAAGACGAGTCTGTGATGCACCAAAGAAATACTTATCAGTTCCGATTGCTCTGTCTCTCTGCAATATTTAAAAGAGACAAAGAGCAAACATGCGATCTCCTGGTGCACTACAAATACTACAGTAAAAGTGTAATTAACTAGACTACAGAGACCTCTGGACATCCGGAAAAAGGGGCACTGAGAGTCCCCTGACTAGTCGTATCTTTCCCTCCTCTCGCTTTCCTCTGCACCTTCTTCAGCATATTTTAAGCGCGTCGATGCAAGACAACGAAAAAACCCCAATACACCAACATCAAAGAAAAAAAAAGGTCGCACAGCCACTGCAGCGAATGCATGCATGCATGACATGCGGTACACAAAATCAAACACGAAAGAACTACCACGACACCCATCCAGACGCGCCCAAGTAAAAGGCATTATTGTTTTCTGTACTCTGTCTTTGCAAATACAGGTACTAACAAACGGCATCTGGTGAAATTCAGGAATGATTGAGAAAGGGGGCGACAGCAAGAGGGAAAAAAAGGAACATGGTGAATGTGCGCCTTCCTTGAGCACAAGGGTCATAGGCTGTTGTCATTTTTCTACCAACTATAATACTCGCAGATGCTGCTCCTTTATTTCATTGACGCGCTCATTTCTTCAACTTGGATACATCGCCATGAACTGACTTTCTTCTTCTTGGAGAGATGTAGCCAATGATGACCGCCAGCAGCCAAAGACGAAGACAAATGCGAGAGTGAGAGAGTCTTAATAGAGGCGTAGGGAGTAAGGAAGAAGAGAAGGGTGAGGGAATGGGAACAGAAAGAAAGAAAGAAAGAAACAAGAAAGAAGAGGATGGGGAGGGGGGGGCTGAGGACGGAGGAACGAAAGGAAGAAAAAAAATGGATTCCCTGGTGTGGTGATGTAGATGGGGATCTGCTTTTCGAGTGATATTTTGGTGGCGTTCATGTGATCACCATATGTAGTGTAGAAAATGAGAATAAATAATTCTGAACCGGGCTATTGGCTCGGGATGCTTCTTTTTCTCTTATTCTTTTTGATCCATTCTTTTGTTGTGTTTCCTTTGAACAAACACCAGTGAAATCAGGATCAGCGCTCCCTTTATTCTCGACCTCCTTTATGTTGCGACCAATACCCAGGCGTTAGAAGACGTACGGGCGATCGAACAGTCGGGACGCGCAACGAAAGCATCATATTCCAGGGTCTACTTCATTGTCAGTACTCTTTTCACCATCTTTTCACCCCTTCCCTCCCCTGTTTGTTATAAAGATCTCATATATGCGAACTCCTTGGAACTGCCTCAGTCGTTCCTTAAAGAACTTAGTCCTTTTTGCTCTTGGTGTCCGTTTGACTAGACTAGATCCCCTCCTATCATCTTTTGTAACAAGCAACCACATCACGACACTGGATTGTTTACATATTTTCCCTCTTTTCGTTTTAGTGGATCCATGCATGATCGGCGTGCAATTTACCTGCATGTCGCGCGAAATCTACGCCACACGCCCGTGGCGTGTCCTTTTTGTTTTTCGACTGCCAGGTGGGAGATACATATTCTAAGAGTCACCAACTTCTAAGAAGGAAGCTATGGTTCACTGCAACCCAGGGACACCAACCTCACGCCGCTAGCATGCCTATAGACCGAGCACTTGACAAACGCGAAAACATTCCCCAATTCTAAACCTGGACACCGACGTCCAGACCGCGTCCAGGCCACATGAGCGGGTGTCCTGTCCATTTTTCCATATTTACGGAGTGCTGCCACGCCTAGATATCAAAGTTCAGGTTCTCACATTGCGATAGGCTCTAGACCATGGACAATGTGAAATGTACAAATGAACTTACATGAACACGAAAGATTTCATTTGCTGCAATAGCGTCCTTGTTGCTCATGGATATATTTCTTTTACCACCATTAAGTGGACGGTGTCTGACTACGACTTGCAAACCGCTTTGAGGATCGACCTGCTCCTTAGTAAAGCTGTTTATGTTTCTTCCTGCAATATACATAAAAATGAGGGCGATCACCTAATTATGTGTAGGGCCAAACAGTGACCATGAAACAACCATCAAAGTCAGTTGGGAGATGTGGCCTTGTCGAACCATGCCTTTCGATTCATTCACATTCGTGTACAACGGCCGACACGATTTTTTGAGAGTATTGCAGTCCCTTTCTTTGCTTCTTGCTTGCGAACAGAAGTAAAAACAGCTATGCCTGGACGCCATGTACGATCCTTTTATCTTGTGCAACTTTAATTAACGAAAGGATTCTAGCCACACTTGAAAGCCTCTATGGACACCTTTTGCAAGGCGGGCTGGTGCAATGATCGATGTGACATGTGTGACCACACCTTTCATTTATTCAGACCAAAGTTCCTTCAACTTGGATTCCTCGTTAACTTTGGGCACCCTATTCTCCATTTCTTTAAAGATTCGTTGGATAGTACGGGAATATCGGATAGAGCATTTTTCTGGTCAAGGCGAAGGGATATGGTCAATGGACATGAACATAGAACAAAGAGAAAAGCCAAACGAAAGGGTTTATCTGCTGAACTTTCGACATTGGTGTTCCAAAAAAAAATACTCTGATCGTTTCCGCATGTCGCAGTGACTCCAGTTCCCTATTGATAAAAATATCCTCTGTAGCAGAAGGAAAAGGCAGCGCGTTTGCGAGAGAGTCATGTTGAATACACAAATCATTATCTGCGCCTGATCCTTTAACATCGTCATTTGATGTAAGTGAAAACAACATCGAGTTTATTGAAACATCTCTTCCTGCTATACATACTCTCGTCCTGTCCTATGAATCCATGAGTTGTTGCTTCCTGTATTACTCCATATTTCTTGATATCTTTAGCATTATATCCGCCTCGAGTATGAACGAGAAGAGATGATAGAAAATCGTTAGATCGAGGTCCAGAAGGTCATTGTCTCTTGCATCCCATACCTGCATCGCTCCATTGAGAGAAATAGATGGAAGGACAATCAAATGTCGCCTTGATGTTGAATAAGGCTTACAAATTCTCTCTGCTCCATCTCCACGCTTGTCAAACACGTCAACCTACACGCAGAAAAGTCTTGTCTTTGAAAGCCTTGTACTTGAAGGCCTTCAGCTCTATTAAATGAATAGTGACAGTCAACGAGAGGAAAGGTTAGAAAACACTGAGAGACATATCCAACACACAAACAACCAAACTCCATGATCCAACCAACACCCTCACAATAGTCAAAGGAGAACTAATCAAAAAGACTTGGGGTCACCCATCTTTCGATCCAGATATGCCCAGCTTCAGTATACATCGACTTGTAACTCTCCCATGAACACACGCGCAAGGTCGCTTTGCGTATGCCATGAAATTCCAAGAGATTGGTCTCCTCACAGATAGCTGTTGATTGTACCTTTGACCAAACTCGAATACTTTCAGACATCTTTCAACGTGGGGAGACGTCTCGAGGGTTCGAAACAATTAACAACGCAATTTTACCGGCGATCAAAAAACAACCGTAATGTTTTGAACTGGAAGTTTCACCACCCCTACAAGCCCTGGAGTGCCAGGCATCTTGTTGGGCGAAGTGAGAACCGTGCGGACGTGTGGGAAGTCTGGGCCGAAGACACTTTGCAAACACACATCTCTTTTGACATCATCATGATGGATGGAGATGTCACAATTGCATTGGATGTAAGAGAGCAAGAATCATGGTACTCTCCTTGGAAGCAAACTGGGCAGCCAACACTGAGGTGAATGAGGATTCTTGGTTGACAATGTCTTGATGAGACGCCTGCTTGGAGGACTTGAACCCTTGGCGATGCAGGGATGATGGAGAGGTAAGAGCAAGGACGACGTTGAAGGTGAGAAGACAAGGAGATTGATTATGAATGAAACTGAAGAGAAGCGAAAGGGAAGAAAGGAAATGGGATGACGTTTGTTGAAAAATTTAGGGACTTGAACATGCATGAAGGGTGGCAAATGTCAAGTGACTTCAATAGGGATCCCTTATCGGAAGGGGCAAAAAAATGACGACAAAAGAAAATTCACCAGCCCCAAGAGGGAGATTAGCAAAAGAAAATGGAGTATGTTTTTTTTATTCTTTATGAGGTCCTTGGACCACAGGGGACGGGGAGGAGGGTGGCGAGCGATGGTAGTTTAGAAACACAAGAAACCCTTGCCACGGTCGCGGAAGTACTTGTTGACTTTGCCACGATCCTGGCGTGTTAGAGGCATCAAGTCAAGGATTTGCAATCTAGGAACGACCTCCATCAGGTTCGTTATCTCCGACAGCGACCAAACGTGCCCCGAGGGGTTGCTCAGTCTGAGCTCCTTCAGTTTGGTCGCGTTGGTCAAGAAGTTAAGCCCACTTGTGTTGCTGGCGTCCAACCTGGTGCATTTTAAAGTGAGCGACTGTAGGCTCTTGATGCGGCTAACCTGTTTATACGTGAGCTCCAAGTTTCGCTGCATAATATCCGCGCTGACCTCCAATGCTCCATGGATTTCGAGCCAGAGCTCCCGGACTTGTGGACATGGGCATGATGGCATGGACTGACCGTCTTCTTCCAAACTGAAGAACCGGAATACATCGACGGTGTATCCCTTAAGCTTGAAGTTGGTCAGATCGGGCCGCGCACGCAGGATGGATATAACCATTGCTTGGTTGACTTCCGTAAGTAACTCTTGGGCCTGGACAGGCGTCGCAACTCGACCTAACTCAAACCCCTTCAACCCCGGGGCGTTCTTGTTGTCTCTCAACCCTTCAAGCTGACCAAAGCGATCTTGCTGGATGTGGTCAATGACTAACAAAGTTAGACAACGCATCTGGGGAAGAACGGCTGCAAAACCGTCGACAGCAAAACCCACTCGTCCAACAAACTTCAACCGCTCTAACTTCAAGCACTGGGCGATGGGTCGGATATCGGTTTCGACTTCGTTGGTGAGATTGGAAGTGAGCGCGAGGGCGAGGAGATCAGGGCATCTGTAGAGCAGGCCCAAGTGCGTCCTCGGAACTGACAAACTTTGAATTTTCCAGAATCCAGGATGCGCTTTAATCTCCTGTTGGGTCTCGTCCCGGAACCATGTTCCGTTGATGCCCAGGTGTTCAAGGTCTTCGCATCCTTGAACGACCTCACGAACCGGCAACGCGTCCTCGCCGTCAAATTGCCGCAGGTGCAAGTCCACACTTGTCACCATTGTAAGCAATCGATGGTTTCGTAAGACGGAGAGAAGGGTTCTTGGGGCCTGGAAAACCGCTGCTGTGAGAGACAGTTTTTTCAGGCCCGGCATCAATGGCAACATGGTTGCCATCCTCTCACTGGAGAGATTGAGGTTGTCATTCTCGCTCCACTCCAGCTTGCGGACTTGCCGACGACGATGATCGAAAGATACATCATCGTCTATCTTTCCGTCGACCAGAGGGAACAATGGATTCATCCATTGATTCCTTCCAATCTCCGTCCAGATATAAAGGCAAAGTGCATGCTGCCAGTTTTTGCAGGCAAGCATGCACTGTACAACGTCCTTCCTTACCAAAAACGTTGCAATCATTAAAAGAATCTCAGATGGCAAGTTCTTTACTGAATGGCCGCGCGTTTGGTTGGAGATATCGGCCTCGTTCAAATGCCTTGCGGCCTTGGAGGGAGGTGGCAAGACATCATCATCGTTGGCGAGAGAGGTGGAGGGGCCATCCTTCCTCTTGACGTTGGGCGGTGATGCGAGTGAGGGTGATGAGGATGGTGTACGCGGTGGGGATGAGGGTGAGGATGAGGATGGAGGATTGAGTGGTGAAGAAGGAGCTGAGGAGTTGTTGTGGCTGCTGTTGTACATCTTGTTGATAATGGACTGGACTGTGAGTAAAGTGGTTGAAAGGAATGGGAAAGGGAAAGAGAGAGAAGCGTGATGGGTTGAAGGGTGGAGAAAATGAGGAAGGAAGAAAATAAAATAAGGAAGGAAGAAAAAGAGGAAAGGAAGAAAAAAGGAAATATATCGGCAAGCAAGGTTGACTGTCAAAGGGTAGAGGCGACGATGACCTATCAGTCATGAAAAAAGTGCCAACGATGACCTATCAGTCATAAAAAAACGCAAGTGCTACCCGGACGCGTGAGAAGGTAGAGAAAAGAGAGTAGGGACAAGGGAGGAAGGGCGCTCACCCATGAACAATCGAGGGTCGTTTAAGTAATGAGGACCGACACAAAAGCCAAAACGACTACGCAACAGGACATCAAACAACACACACAACGGACAGGGTCAGGCACAAGACGTTGTTATTACAACAATCTTCCCACGGCTCATTCGCCGTCTGTCTCTCTATTCTACTCTCTCCACTCTCCCCCTCCTTCTCTCAGCTCTTTAGTTCATTCATTCGTTACATTGCATTCCTATTTCCATTCGTCTCATTCGTCTCCCACTCAGCCTTTTGCATCAACCAACAGAAAGTGAATGAGAGGAATGACATTCAGCAAGGTGATCGCAAGGTAAACAAAACCAGCACCGTTCTGTATTACCGTCCGTCTGTTTATCTCTCTGTCCATCGGTCCTGTTTGGCCAAGGCACTGTTTTTCGAATTGGTGGCAAAAATCAAGAACAATGAGCATGTGACCTTAATGCTCTTTGGCCATCCCACACAAATGCAAGTGAAAGCAATGGGGCAGAAGATGGAAGGAGTAAACCTTCTTTGTTGGCACCATGTATCATGCACGCGCTCTCTCAACGAAATAACAAACGTGCCGACGAGTGCACGCGAAGAATGAGATATCTGTAACTGATGGTGCCTGGCTTTACTATTTTCCTGTTTCTCTCACTCCAGGTAAAGAGAAGCACGATATCACCTACCAATGAAAACGCGTCGCCCAAAACCTAACTCGCCCCCTGTTTCATTCCCTTCTTAAGACAGGAAAACAAGGGACCGTTAGAGGTTTCAACAAGCAGCTCAAACTGGATTAAAAAAGCGTTTTACTTCCTCCCTCGCACAGCCCTACAGGCAAAAGCCTAGGCTTCATTCCGACGTTCAGTACGACATATACAATCCTACACCCCTCCCCACAGTCCCAATAACTGCATCTACCCACGAATGGGCTCAAATCAATTATCGGGAGGTAACACCGCCGTTCACAAAAGAGGGTCTGAGCAGTGGCCCACTGAGAATCGGGCGAAGCGATGAACTCGACGACGGGGATAATATCCTTGATATCCCTAACCGACCGGCGACACTCAGTGACGCAAAGCAGGGCCGTCGACTCCTTTGTATCTTGTCCGTAGAAGAATGGCGTGTCGACTGGGCCTATTTGTGTTTTTTTATGTGAGGTGATAATGTTTTATGTTGGGTGAGCGACCGGATCAAGAGTACTAGAAACGAGGCATTTTGATGTCTTGTTTTTTTCGCTTTCTGCAAGGTCTTGTGAAAATTACCTGGAACGATAGTGTTAGCAGTAATACCTCCGCCGCCGACCTCCTTCACAAGCGCCGTTATAAAATCCTACAGCGGGGTCTTCGACCCGGCATACGCCGAAAACTCCATCGTCGTAATAGCCAGCAAAGTCATTCCAATATATTTACCCTCCCCCTGTCCGCTATATGCTTCGCTCACTCCATAATAAAAAAAAACGACACCTTTGCATTGATCGCAAGCACACCATCATACTCTTCCTCAGAAATCTCGGTTATGGTCTTGTTCAACACCACACAGATATTGTTAATCACAATGTCAATATGCCCAAAAGTTGAAAGAAATCTGGGCGACAATCTGTTCGATGATAGAGACGGAGGTTTCTTTACACCAGGTATTTTGAACGAGCCTCCACGAAGCACCGGCGTCTTCTCTCATCTGACCTTTTCTTCTTTTCTCGCTAATAGTTAGCACAACCAACAACAATACATTGGAGTCTTTTGGGATATCTCTTTCTTTCTTTTAATTCCTAGCCACGAAAGGATAGGTTAATCCGTGGAGTTGTCATGCGCTATTTGCTTAGAGTATGTTGCGGGTAGAGAGGTGGGTTGTTCGTTCCCTTAATTATTTTCTTGGCGCATGATAGTACAGGGTCGAATGGTTTGATCGGATTGACAGACCGCAGATGAGGAAAAGTGAAGAGGGAAGAGGTGAACAAGAAACATGAACAAAGAGCTGCCTTCAAAATGGCCATGCCCTCCAACTAATCGTCCTCCAACTAATCTTAGTCCATCGCATGGTTAGTTTTCACATCACTTACGACCCCATCATTTTTCTCGCCGCCAAAAAGCTAAACGAAAGAACGTGTTCGTGTTTGATCGATGGGACGCGTTTGCATCGGCGCGCGAACTTTGGCCTGGTCATAATCTCTGCTTCCCACGTATCTACGCCTCCATGAGAATAAGAGCTAACTTTCCGCACTGAAAAAACGAACACCACTAAGTACTGAGCGAAAAAGCAACGCGTTTTATTGCAGTCTAGTTGCCAGAAAAGGCGCCAATGGCTAGGCAAAGGTTCCGCTTTGTGAATTGAACCTTGTAGATCGGCGTTCGCTTCGTTGGGAACGTTGCCAGATGATCTTCAGATTCCAAAGGTCCAGTCAGCAGGCTCTTCCTGTTCAACCTCTCCATCGCCGCTGCCGTTGCTCCTGCGCCGAGAGCTCCTTGACCCTGTCCTTGTGCAAGGACTGGTGAGGATACGACAGTACCGTTAGCAGATCCAGCAGCAGTGCCCTCGCGGTCGTCCTGCAGAATGCGATGTCCTGCACTTCCCTGGCTGCCTTCCTTCTTGACATCCCAAGTGCGGACCGTGCAATCTGCACTGCCAGAGACCAAGATCGAACCATCCTGACTGAAATCCAACGAGTAAATGGTTCCCTGGTGTCCGGTCATCTTCTTCATCCGCTTTCCTGATCCCAAATCCCATAGCTGAATCGAGCGATCCTCTCCCGCAGAAGCCATCATTCGGCCATCTGGTGACATGGCGATCGCGTGAATAGCGCCTACATGTCCTGTAAACACACGAACACACGTCCCTCTCTGGACATCCCACAGTCTTGATGTCTTGTCACTTGATCCGGTCACCACGTATTTGGAATTAGGGTGGAATTTGACAACCTAGAGGAGTCCGTGAATAAACCCGAAAGAAAATGTCCTCACAGTAAGCATCCAGATCCCCTACCATGAAAAATACATCGTTCACTCAGAGGATAAAAAGAGCGCCCAGAACGCGCAGGCTCGGATCGAGACCGATCTACCCTTTGTTCCTTGTTCTTTCTTTGTTAAACTTACATCGACATCAGACAAGTGTCCGGCAAAGATGCGCAACGGGTAAATGTGGTCGCAACTCCAGAGTCTGGCTGTGCGGTCGTGAGAGGCAGTGGCAAAGTAAAATCCTTGAGGTCCGAAATCCACATCCCACACTGGGTAGTTGTGCCCCTTGTAGCAAACCAGGTTCGTAAGCGTGCTCGTACTCCACAGGCGCGCTATTTGGTGATCAAGAAACGAGTTGATCCGTAATGTTAGGTTCTAGACTTGTCGTGAACACGTCAATTTATCCTTGGTCTCAATTGCAAACGCCTCCATTGCATGCATGAATGAAAGTGTGTAGTTCCTTACCTGACTTGTCTTCCGAGCAGGTGATCAGATACTTGTTGTCTGGACTGAAACTGGCACCAAAGACAGGGCCTGCATGTCCGATTAGCTTCTTGGAGTCTGCACCCTTCTTTTCCTTGACCCTGTTCAAATCGTTGGCTATTGATTGAGTAATGGATAATTGGGTTGAAAGTAGGTAGAGTTTAGTTTGCGAGCAAAAATTGGGTGAGGGAAAATGAAGCAATTGGGTTGTTCACAAGTCCCGTTTAGTAAGCCAAGACTTTTGACTTACAGTCGTGGATATGGGCGGGGTTGAAGTTACTCCTGAATCCCCGAAGTTTTTCGCCACTGAGACTCCAGAGTCGGACGTAGGATTCTGAAAATCCTGCAGCCATCATAGTCGCGTCTTCCGACACCGCCACACAGTTGATATTCTCTTGAGCATTGTGAAAGGTGTATGCGCATATTGAGGGCAAGCTGGAGGGTCCCAATGCGACGCGTTTCCGTGAATCCCGCAATGCCTCAATCTCTGCCTGAATATCGCTTCCCTTGCTATTTTGTTCAAAACGTAAGTATTGGCTTTCGTGTTAAGAGCTGTCATAAAGGGTCTCCAGGCACATGGGAATACTGCGGAGTAAATAGGCGTGAAAACTTAGCGATATTGATGGTCCTTACAATGGTGGAAGAGGTACGTCGTCCCGAGATGGCGAGTCAACTCCTGCTTCTGTCTTCACTTTTTTGTATTCCTCCAAGAGTGATGCTGGAGTCTCCCCGTTCATGATCTAAGCAGTTGTCAGTAAAAAATGGCAGCAACATGCGCGTCAATTAAGCGTTCGCAAATAGATCTCGCCTTCAACAAACGTTCAATATCAGCAGGTGCGCGTATCCTGTGAAATAGTGCTTACCGTATCTCCTCCCGAAAGCGCCTCCTCCTCCTTCAGGGTTTGCTCGACCTGCTCCCGGAAGGTGGCATCAGGTGGCATCTGTCCCAGGGCAACGCTCTGCTGGTTAAACGTTGCCAATTGATGAGTTCCATGTCCAGCGATTCCAATGACCTCATCTTCGCCTGCGGCCGCGGCGCCGACTTTGATGTTGACGTGTTGGTTGACAATCCGAAGGAGGACGATGAATTTGTTATCTTGCAGGAACGCGATCAGCAGCTCGAACGAGACAGGTGCCATGCGGAGGTTATATTTGTTGGATTTGTACATCTGCGCCAGTTCGTTCTCCTTGATGTGTTGTGCGTCCGTGATGATTGCTAACCGAGCAATGTCCTGTGAGTGCATCTCCAAGTGATCCGATTTGTAGCTCGCCATGAATTTGCTGGCTACAAATATTTTGAACGCGAAGGGAAATAAAAAACGGTGTCAGTGAAAGTTGTTTTCTCCGTTGCCCGTGCTATCCGTGTGTACGATTAAATCGCGTGTCAAGTTGATCTAGGTCCAGTTGTTTACCTTGCTCCTTCAGTCCTCTGTTCACAAGATTAAGGTAGCTGTGAAGGAAGAGAGGGAACAAGACCGACATAAGCTCCGGCTATGATCGTAGACATGAAAACAAAATTCGAGGCTAGTTAGCTACAAAGCCCGTTACCATCGTCCAGAGCATACATGTGTAATAGAAAGAGAGTTCCCGAGGACGTCGCGTAGAAAAGAGAGATAGTACCTTGTAGAGGTCGAGGGAATTCTCAATCCAGCGCCGGAGTGATGAGTATGCTTGGTCGTATGCATCAGGATCGCCCATCTCGTTCTTGTCATGTGTGGGTTGAGGAGGTCCCGCAGTGGTGGCGGCTCCAGTGGCTTCTTTGTCCTTTGCAGCGAGAGCAGTGGCTTGCTCCTCGAGGGTCAGCAAGTTTGCCTCGCGTTTAAGTGCGATCTCTGCTTGTTTGTAGCCTTTTTGATTAAGGTAGTTGAGGACGATTCGGTCTACCTCCTGTTGAGTCTGTGGTGTTTGGGCAGGGGCTGCCTGTTGCTGCTGTGTTGCTGGCTGTGTGGTGGCGGTGGCCTGTGTGGTGGCGCCTGTTCCTGCAGCCGCAGTGCCATCGGCAGGAGAGTCTGGCATTGTTGATGGGTATGTGAGTGTTGCTGTTCCTGAAAGGAGAGTTGATTCGGGCGGGAAAGAAGGTAAAACAGAACAATCGCCTGGTTGAACAAGAGAAGAGGGAGACGAACACTCGCGAAACGAAAGCGCAGAAGTAGCGCTTTTATGATTTTTTTTGTGATGGTGGCACGTGACTTGAGTGGCAATGCGACTCAAGCCACAATGACAGACTAAAGGAGAGCTGTCAACCACGGTGTTTCGCGTGTGCAGGAAAAGGAGGAACGATTGAACACTCCTTCCTCACACCTACTCATCGAACAAACACAATCCTCAAAGAATTCGTACAACTGCAGCACTCGACATAACGGACATAACAAACATCAATACATACAATGGACTCCGCCGCCACAGAAACACCCGATGGAACATCAAGCTATAGTAAAGGCAACCTGCAGGACCACAATACTTCACAAACACATACAGTCCAGACAGAACCAGGAGCCACCAGAGACGAGACAACAGTTGGTGGCCAAGATACACAGAGGTCATCAGAGTGTAATGGGTGCGAGGACAAGAAAGAAGAAGAATTGACGCTCGATCCATCCAGTCAAACAGGTGCGTATCCCTTCTTTACAACTCCTTGGCGAATTTCTCTCTCTCCCACTCCACAAAACGCATCTGCTATCCGAGGATCGCTAGTCATGAGATCTTGGCCACACTACGTCCTATCGACACCCGACACCCGACACCCTTCCCCCAACCGCCACGCTTCAATTGGATCGATTGGATATCCGCACACGACCATGGACACGTTCGAGAAACTGTTAATTTCGTTCGACGTGCGATCTCAATCAAATCAACATTATTGGATTGGGGACCATGGGTATTTCAACAGAACCTTAAGGAAGAAGCAACTAAAAAAGTGCATCAATTGCAAAGAGCATGGCGATATTCTTGCTATTTGCTGAACAAGCGACACACTCCATCCCTTCTATTCCCTCTCCTTCTTTCCTTTATCCTTCCATCTTGAAAACTCAAATCCCGTGTCAACAACGCTCCAACCCCCTGGCTGCAGGGCAAGGCAAGGCTTGGCATACGGCATGCGCAGGAACAGGGAGAATGCTAAAAGAGGGGTGAGGCTCAACAGGCAGTGCCTCGTCTTCAATCTCGAAACTTTCTTTTTTTTCTTTTGGGGTCAAGGAAGGAGTGACAATGTCGCACGACAGGGCAGGATGACCATGGACCATGGATATAGGACTCGTGGACCCATGGAACATGAGGTCTTTTTTTCGCAACATATCGATCGCAATGGCAAAGAGCTATTTAGTTCCGCACTAATAGATTGACCACACCAACATCAACAAGCAACACACGCAAAACGGCAGCCAGCGACCGTATCGGGAAGATCCCTTGAGCGTCTCGACATCGCTTTCACCCTATTGGCCCGGAGATTGACCAACGCCCTTGCAGGGATTCGCCACATGCGCGAGCGTCGACATCCGCTTTGTTCCAGGTCAACAAAAAGAGCTTTGACAATTATATACGCGGCAATATCAGAGCAATAATCACGACCTCGCGACACATTCTCTCTTGAGTCTCGTGGTTCTCTTTCTTTGCCCCAACGCCTCAATGGTCACCATTGGCGGACCAAAAAAAAATAGTACAAGAAGGAGATGTTTTTCCTCTCTACCATTTTTTTTTGTCTCTATATCCTCAAAACATTCCCTCACTTTTCATTTTCTCACAAGCAAATCGGTCGATTTTTTTCCATTATGCTTCATTACTTACGCGCCATTCCTACTCTACCGAAACCATATCGATCCTGTCGTCCTTCAATCGTAGTACCACCGTCGGACGATATGCTAGCCTCCACAACGGCACTAGTAGTTTCATTCACAGAAGTAACACTCATCAACGGCGACACTAACACAACGGCACTCACAACGACAGCAACGACAGCAGCAGGTCAGGAGACAAGTCACACTGTCGTGAAAGGGTCAAATCCAGTCCACCCAACTCCGACGGCGCTCTCGATACCTCGATCCATCACCATGGACACCATGGACATCAACGCAAGCCTCAATGGAGGCGAATCTTCATCATACCCAGAGGACCTCTGCCCGCCTGACAACTTCAACATGGTCTCGACCTGGATCTATCGCAGTAGTTTCCCCAAGAAGAAGAACTTTTCCTTTCTGAAGAAGCTCGGCCTCAAGAGTATCCTGTAAGTCATTTAGGAGGTCATGGCGCTGGCGTGCGTGTTTGCATATGAAAGAATCGTGAGTAAGGACAACGAAAGCTAATAAGGGAGAAACATTGCATATGGTTTAGGACACTCATTCTGGAGGACTACCCGGATCAGAACATGAAGTTCTTGAAGGAGAACAAGATCACCCTCTTTCAGTTTGGAATTGCCGGAAACAAGGTAAAACACACAGCAGTCTGCACATGGGAGAGAAGAAATAGCATGCAGGAAAAGTGAACAGAAACACAAAAAAGAAAAATTAGAAACGAGGGTGGCGTGTGCATTTGGTTGGGTGGCCCATGGGTCATCTTAGTCACCTTTTGCCGCACAGAAAAAAAACCAAAAGGAGTCTCGGGTAGGACCAAATACGAACACACTCTTTTTTTGATTTCTCCCGTTCCCACCTTCTGTCTCGCATGTGCATTCTTCACTCCCCTTCGCTCTCCTTTTCAATTGCTCGCTCTTTATTTAATCGTTTCTCGGCAAAGATGTGGAGGGCAACAGGGGGATCGATCTACCAATGCTTATATATCGTGCGCCCTTTCTCCATCTATTATTTTTACGCGATGAATTTTTTTTTGGCGATGGTTTGCTCTCATCCAATGATTCAACCAACGTGCCCACTAACATACCCATCCCATTGGCTTATACCTTCCTTCCCCTTCAATAGGAACCCTTTGTTCAAAGTAAGGCCTCACTCACTCCTCTCCTTCTCACTCGCGTGTCCTGTATTCGCTCACATCAACAAAACTTCTAACTCCTCCTCCTCCCCCTTCACTTCCCTGCAACCCCCAACAGTCCCAGACGACAAGATCTGCGCCGCACTCGCAGTCCTCCTCGACCGCCGGAACCACCCCATCCTAATCCACTGCAACAAGGGCAAACATCGTACCGGCTGCTTGATCGGCTGTCTCCGCAAACTCCAACAATGGTCCCATACGTCCATCTTTGACGAATACCGTCGCTTCTCTCACCCGAAATCTCGTTCCATGGATCAACAGTTTATTGAGCTCTTTGATGGCCGGGAGGCTTGGAAGGTTATTGATTCGAAATGGATCCCGGACTGGAAGACTTTGGGGCATCATGCGGGGGTGTAGACTTGTAGACTTTACGTGTGTGTGTGTGGAAGGTGTAGAAGGGTGGTAGAAGGGGGGGGGAAGAAGATGCTCAATTTCCCCCCCCCCCCCCATTGTAACAACACTTTTTTTTTTTTTTTTCTAGGCAGTATGCTCAGCCCACTTTTTTTTTCTTTTTTTTTTCTTTTTTTTTGTGCTTTCAACTTTGAATAAAAACTTCAATGGGTGCGCACATGGAGGTCTCTTGGTGCACAATGATCTGAAAAGCGCAAAGAGAACAGCTGGTTCTCTTCTCTTAGCGTCCATCATGCCCCTACACATCGAACCCTCAAACAACTGCACACACAAATTCCTCAAACGACTCCGTGTTGTTTTATGATTTCAAATCTAAAGTACAGTAGCCTTGGCTTCCAAATAGCCAAGTATTGAACGCGTCTCTCATCTTGATTGAACCTTTTTTTCACACGGCAATGAGTGAAACAAAGCACAGGCCATGAATGGCCAGGAAATGAGCCAGACAAAGAAAAGGGTGGGCAAAGAAGAGTCAGCCAAGAAGTATCAACCAAGAGTCGTCCCTATCGAAGAACGGCGCACTCCTTCAAGCGCCAGGGTACGCACCAGGATGATGCATATCCCCTCCTCCAGCCGCTGTCGACGACGATACACCACCTCCAGACGACGACGACGACGACTGCCCACCACCAAGTGACAGCAAGTTCTCCTCCTCAGCAGGCTCTTGCAAGAACTGCATCAAGAACGTCTTTCGCCTCAACGCCTCCACCTCCGACAACCTCTCTGCTCCTGGTGGGGGACGCAGCATCACTGATGAGAACACCGCCGCTATTAGATGGGAATAATAATAAAAAAAAGTTAGCAAAAACAATATCAAACAAAACCCCCTGAACCCAATAAACCATGCGCCCCTCAAAGGTACATAAACTGGAAACAAAAAACCATGAAAACACATACCAAGCCTGGCGACGCGGTAGTTTTCATCATCTTTGCCGCGCCCACTAATACTAGCAGCATCGTTTCCGTTATAGATCGATCCAGAACTGCTCTGCATCACACGGTGGTTCCCATGTCCCAACGCCGGGCTGTTGCTTCCTGCAGCAGCAGCAGTCGTTCCACTGTTGCTGTTCGCTCCAGCTCCACTGACACCACTATGGGGCGCTTGAGCATTATTTCCACCATCCTTAGACCCAGCTGCAGCACCACCAGCCGCCGAAGAAGACCCTCCAATAAGAATCAACTCCCTCAGAAAGCTCGTGATATACACAAACACGTTCACATGTACGGGCGGCATGAGATCCAAAAGCCCATACGCCGCCTGCTGATGGTTCGCAACCTCCAGTGCCCGGTAGTACATCTCTGTCGGCACCACAGGTTCTCGCAGGGACTCCAAGAAGCGTAACAGCACTTCTGCCATGGAGTGGATTCCCCTGTTCTCACCGAGTCCGAATGTCGCGGCTTTGGGTGGGATACCGTTCATGATCGAGACTGGGCGGGCGATTTGGGGTTTGAGGTCGGAAGCGGTTGATCCTCGGGGCGTCAACAAGGCTGATGATGGTGGCGAGTTGGACGCATCTGCTCCTGGCGATGGGTCCTGAGTATCAGAGGTCTTCTTATCGTCGTCGTGGGAGGGCTTGCCTAGAAGACGAGTCAGATCAAACTCCTCGCCCGTGTCCAGACACTCCCGGATATATGTCATTGTTGGTTGGTCTCCCGACAACAAGAACAAGTTATCCTATTTGCAGTTATCAGAAAAACGACGTGTTAGCTCACTTTGTCAAGTTTTCTCATGAAGGCATACAATACTCGTATCATGAAGCAAAATGATACTCACAACAGAGAAGCCATGCTTGTAAATAAAGTCAACAATACGCCAAAGGTCCTTGGGCAGACTGAGCTGTCGAACAGGTTTCTGCTTCTTGACAACATGAGGAACTGGAGGCACCGCCCGCTTCTCATTGGCAAGCTGCAAAGACTTGAGATCTCCCACAAGAGAACTCTTACTCGACTTGCGTTCAATCGCGTCCTTCTCCGAGAAAGAATCCAACGACTTTGCATTCTTCAACTGCCCCCGCTTTTCACCGGCCGTCGTTGTCGAATGAGAATCCGTATCTTTCATACTGCTCCTGGACGACTTTGTGCCAAGGACATTGTAACGGTCATACAACGTCGCGGTATCATCCTCGTCCTCATCCTGCTCCTCATCCTCCTTGGGGTTCCAGAGTCGAATAGGGCGATCAAGACGTGACAGCCACTCGAGCGAGTTTCCGAAACAGGTGCGGACATAGGATCCAGCGACGGTGATAAAGTAGTCCTTCCCGTGCTCCAGATGCAAGATCAAGATGTCATCCATGACTTCGCGTCCCGTGTTGAGTAATGGCGCAGAGTCGTTGTCCACCATAACTGTCAAGTTGATATTGGTAGACTCGCCTATCGTTACAAAACCGGCGGAGATAATTAATACCACGACCTTTTTTCAAAAAGAACCTTTTGCCTTCAACCACACAACACAAAGACTCACCTGGCATGATCATTCCGACAGGGGGATTGGCCCACATCCAGGGCTTACAGAACCGCTCATCCTGCAACTTGGGTTTGAACCGGTAGCGGGCTGGGAACTGTTTAGTGTTCTTGATTGTGATGGTGGTCTTCTTGGGTTCCAGGTACCTGACATTGTCAAAGACTACGCTCGACGAAGAAATAGTGGCGTCGGGCATACACTCGTTCTCGTACCGGTCCAGTTCCTTGACAATCGCCTGGTGCACTTCCGCTTGCTTGTCCTGCAGCAGTGTCTTGACCTTGAATGAGCAAAAGTAACGACAGTTCAGTACAGCCAACAACACAAAATCAGACATTCCAGATACGTGCGGTAAAGGGGGCGAACCTTGAGCTTGAAGAGGGCGCTGACGGGCTTGTGATCACTGAGGGTGAGCTCCATGTGGGATCTGTAGAAAAGGGGCTCGACACTGTCCTTGGCCACGTTTTTGGAACGCCACAAAACGCGGTCCGTGTACGCCGGAACCCTGCGCTTCTCACTACGACATGAAATGATGATGATATGAGTACGATTGATCCTGTAACGTATAATTAACTAACACGACCAGAGCTGTCACAAAGCTAGAAGGTACCTTGAGTCCCATGTACTGGTGCCAACGTCAAACTTGTAGGTTGGATGAAAATTGATAGGGTGTTCCTCGAACTCTGAGAATGCTTTGTATATCGATCTCTGGGTTCCGAGCTACATAAATGATGCAGAGGAAAGCATTACATATATTTAGAAAGGTATTGCTGACACAAACAACGACATACCAGAAGACCAAAGTGAAGGCCAAAAAGCGTACCTGATCGTGTTTCAGCAGTTCCTCATAGTTGTTGGTCTTCAAGTGATTCTTAACAACGTCCTCGGGCAACCCTACGCGATAGTTCAAATCTCCAGCCCAGATTGTATGGCTAAGTGAACGAAAGGCGCCAAGATTAATAACTGGGATGGCTTTTGCAAAGAGACGAAAATGTCCTTGCCAGTTTGCATAATCAAAGCAGCACCAACTTACTCGCAATCAAAGATGGAGACCATCTTATTAGAAGCAGCCAGAGCTGCGTTTCCAGCAGGGCTCTTGGTGATATCATAGGTGCTCGAAGAAGGGAACGCCAAGCGACGACAGATTTCCTGGTAGTCCTGGTTCCTCCTTTCCACTTGGCTGGTGTCAGCTGCCAGATGGGATCCAACAAAGCACAGGTACGAGTCCTTGTATCGGATACGGATCGAGACGCCTCCTTTGTTTGCAAGGATGTTCATGATTCCAACACCTGCAGCGTGGGCAGTGACCTCCTTGATGTATTTGACCTGATCCACTGCTGCAAACATAACAATCAACAATCCTACGAGCTGTCTCGACGTGACCTATTACGAGTGAAGCGCGGGGACATGGTTAGCCACGCTGCTCCATATCAAACAGTCAAACCAGTTCAATGATGAGCGTGTTCCATACCTTTTGATAACCACTTCCAAGACATTCTGCGATGGCGCGTGTCCACTCTTCCTCCTTGGCCCCATCAAAGACAATGTACGCCTCTGCGCTCAAATCGAGTTCCTGGAAGCTGCAATGCGAATAAATATTTTGAGACGTGAATATTAATTTCATGTGCGACAAGTTTCTCTTGCAATCGAAGACAGAGAGGAGGCGTGTCATTACCAGAGGACATATATGTCGGGCTGCGTCTCGCCCTCGACCTTGAGCCATGGATCCAGCTTCTGAGTAGCATTCCTGCCATTGACATTCCATGTGCCTACAAAAGCACTATCATCACCATCAACAAGTACGAAAAGGTATTAGTGGCGAAATTACACACTAGAGCGACTCAAGAGATCAATTCCGAAAAAAGCAAACCAGGAACTTACTGCATGAACCCGTTCTCGGTAAACTCGCTTTCCCTGGCGCGCATCTCCTTCTCGACCCAACTCTCTTTAACAGACCCAAGTTGCAGGCGTGGGCCACTGGAAGGAACAATCGCCTGGCTCTCTTCCGGCTGAAGGAAATACATCGACAGAGGGTTGGTCGTAGAGGAGATGAACTCTTCCATAGTCTGGATCGATCCTGACGCTATTTTGTGCACAAGGAGGTGAGGTGTCATTGTCAGTAATGATCTTCTTCTTCGTCCGGCCTAGTCCACTGCTCCGAAATGACTATGACGAAAGGATATATACCTGCTGGTGAATGGGCTTCCGGGTCTATCGTGTAGTACTGGATCCAGCGATGACTGCTTCCTCCAGCATAGAAATTGTCGTCCTCTGCGTTTGTATTGTACGATAAGGAAAGAGGTTCAAGTCAGCCAAGATGGAAGGAAATATGGATGTTTTCGCGATACAAAAAATCCAATGCTGCCTTACGAGCAATGAGGTGACTACGCCTGAGTTCCTTGAGCAACCCTTGAAGTGTCTCCAGATCGTCCGTGTGCACAGTCGCCTCTGTCTGGTCGCAGAACAACTTCAGCGTGAAATCTAGATATATTCCACAAGTCAGCGAAGAAATGAGTGACCCCAGTATATCCTTTTGACCTTCCCCCCCACAAAGCAATATGACGTAGGGCAATATATCCACAATTCTCCGACGACGATTTTTGTTACCGTTCTTTGAATCCTGGATCGACTGCTTATCATCCTTGTCCACGGGCTTTGTTTGCGCTGATGGAGTAGGGGTGGGAAATTGGCGACAAAGAGAAATCGAGTGAGTTGTAGGTATCAACAAAGTGAAAAACGGCACGCCAGTATCGACATAAAACATGTAGGATTGCGCGCCCACTACTAAACATACCAACCGAGATCCTGAAGTCAAAGTACACAGGGAGCACTTCCTGGAGGACACTCGCCATCAATCCTGTGCGCTTAATAATAAAGACACTAAAAACAGCAAGCACATTGACACGAAATCGAAAAAAAAGAAATTAGTGAGTTGTGGAACGAAAGTATCAAGTCGCAAAGTCGAAAACAGGCGCCACAACGTGGCACCAGTAAGTTCCTCTCCAGCAATTGAATACCCCTTCCGGATGAAGTTCATCTCCCGCTCTCTTTTCTCAACTTACCACGCCTCCTCGACGCCGGCTTGAGTGTTGACAATAATAGCCAAGACCCTGTTCTCGAGCTTGCCGCTGTCCCCTGTACACAGGACCTGAGCAGAGAATTGACAGCGCTCAGTGGGTCGTAACAGTAGTTGCGCCATTGCGTGGCTCTCTTCGCCTGTCATGTAATGGTACGCTTCTGGGTTCCTTGTGAGGTCCTGGAGGTTGGCGTTCGTGTGTGCTCGTGTATGGCCGCGTGGGGGAGAGAGAGTTCTGAACCCTGAATTCGTGGAGCAGCGAGAGCGAGCCGTTTGTTAGAGCGACGAGGTGATAAGGTTGTATGTATGCGAGTTTTGTTGTTCCTGCGTGTTTGTTTGTCCCGGTTTGTAATGTATTTCTCCTGTCGTCGTCGTTGTTGTTCCGACAGAATGAGTGTCAGCGGCGAAGTGAATGAATGAAAGTCTGAAGGAAGGAGTGTGATGTTTTGAAGAAGTGGAAGAGAAGAGAAAAAAGAAAACAGAAGAAAGACCATGAGGAATGGTCAAAGGGGCAATTCCATTCAACCGAGGGAGGGAACCCGTGACGGGCAAGGAGGAGAGAGACAGAGGCGAAAGAAGGGGTGAAAAGAAAGGCACAAATAGACAGACACATCCCCCACTTGCCCGAGTATGCTGTAACACCTTTAACGAAACACGCGACAGAACAGAGGACAAAGGGTTCACTGATAAGGCATCTCTCTTTTAAAAGGACTACTGTCAACTAGCGCAAAGGTATCTACAGGAAGGCGCCAAGAGGGGTGGAGGCAATGTTGAGGGCAGGGAACTGCTGGTTGAGCTGCTTGACAATCTCAATCATCTCCTGACGGGTGGTAGGCTTGAGCTCACCCTCGCGAGGGAGCACATCAGCAAAGACGGCCAGCAGCTGAACCAAGTTGGCAAAGATCCATGCATTCTGGGCACGAATCAACGAGAACAACAACTTGAAGACAGGCTCGTTCTCCTCAAAGTCAACCTTCAATGGCAAGGCCTGGACAAAGACAGGCAGCACCTGTTCCACAGGCACAACGTTGGGATGCTTCATGATCATACGAGCAACCGCACCACACGCATTGTCTGTCACATTCGACAGATCTTGTCCCTGGAACAAGGGGTAAAGTGCTTGCAAAAGGGCGGGATAGTGCCTAGTGAGTAGTGAAAAAACGAGTGAGCAAGGTGTAAAAAGAAAAAAAGGGGGAGAGAGAGGAGGAGGCATGTTCGAGTTGCACAAAAATGCAAGATAAGTCTAAGCACTTACGAGGAGAGATCAATAGTTGTGTTCTGGCAAAGAGCACCAATGGCAAAGGCGGCATTGCTTCGGACCTCATCCTCCTCGTCGCTGAGACCCTTTACGATAAGAGGGAACAGCTGCTCGGTAAAGTCGGTGATACCAGTGCTCATTCCGTTTGCGATCTCGCCCAAGCACCCCATAGCCATCGACCGCTCACTGCTTGGCTTGGACTTCTTGTAGTACTTGGCAATGTGGGGGATGAACACCTGGGCATAGGGCACAAAGCTGGCACCAAGAACAGCAGCCAAGGCTCCAACGAGATCCGATGCTCCAGTGATCAACAATGCGTCGTATTCAGCCTGCTCGTCCTCCTCCAAGAGCCCCTCGTCATCAACAAGCTCCTGCTGACAGTATGCCTTCTTCTCAAATAGCAACTGCAGCTTTGCAGCAATATCATCGATGTCTATTATCACGAAGTAACGAGTTAGATACAACCTTCTTCAACAAGGACCACAATCACCGCTTGTACCACTGTCAATGCCCTCTACTTACGATCAGCAATGATACCAGGGCCACAGAGCCGAACAGTCTCAACCATTTCGTTGCAAATCTGGAACACAACCATCCTATTCAAATACACAGTGATCAAGGTAAGATTATTGTCTGCATCAACGGTCAATGATCAGTCACAGTCAAGTACAGTGATGTTTGGACTTACTTTTCATCCTCTTCATCCCAGACGGCGAGGATGGCGGGCATCACCAAAGTGTTCAGCTGGGCGACATTCTCATGGAGAGGGACAGTTACAGGAAGACCAGCCACCCATTCCTGAGAGTTGGACAACTTGTAAAAGGCGCGCAAAAAGTTGAACAGCGAACGGCAAGAGGCCTTGCGCACACCGTCGGCTAAATGGGTCGACAGTTCCAAAAGCTGCTCGACGGTCGACTCGACATAGGGCAAGAAGGCAGATCCTGTGTACTGGAAGAGTTCACCAATGGTATCAGCAGCAACCTCCTTCTCGTCTGCAATAGCAGACTTGTAGACGTAGCTGTCCTCCTCGCCTTCCTCTCCTTCGAGCTCGTCCAGATCCTCGATATCGTTCTCCAAGCGGGTGGTGTTCTCGTCCAGCTTGCATGAGTGGATCAATTGAGGGACGATAGCCTCCAAGTATGGAGCGAATTCGTCCGCAAAGACCTGAGCGATTCCTGCAAAAAAGTAGAATCCACACTCCCGAAGACGGTTGTTACTCAGATGCAATCCCTCCATGGCCAACAGCATCAAGTCGTTCAAGTATGGCTATCGATGAGTTGAAAAATGCGAAATAATAAGCATGGAGCAACACAAAAATTGGGGTTGTCAAAGAAAATCAAGAAAAAAAACAAATGACAACTTACGCGGAAAGCCTCCTTGCCGACTGCAACGGCGATGGCACCGAGAGCATCGGTAGAGACGGAACGAAGCATAATCTCGTCGTCGTTCGAGCGAAGGGACATCAAGTGCTGGAGACGCTTGGTGACCTCGACAAAGTAAGGGGTGAACTCTTGGCCCGAAGCATGAGCGGCACTACCAATAGCAGCGACAACGATGGCGCGGGTCTCTCCCTGAGAGTTCTCGAGCATGTGAATCAACTTTTGCATAAGTTCGGGAAGGTATTGAAGAATGTTGTCGCCGAGACCTTCCAAAATTGCATCCAGAGCGTTGCAGGCTTGCTTGGTAATCTCGGGTGTGGGCTCGTTCATGAGGTTGAAGACCAAGGGCAACAGCGTAGCGTGGTTCTCCGCAACCTCCTCGTCAAACTCTTCGGCAAGAGAGCTCAAAGCCATGCAGGCAGCGCGGCGAACAGTTGCATCAGGGTCGCGGAGTCCAGTGCAGACCAAAGTCAACAATTCGTTGAACTTGGGGCGGATGAAATCGACAGAGCCCTCAACCAGGACAGCGAGTGTGACCATTGCAGCCTTACGGAACAAGGGTTCGGGGTTCTGCATGTAGGTCAGAATACCTTCAGCAGCGATAGGGAAGACCTGCTGAGGGGGTAAGTTGGTGGCGAGGGTGTTGATGACCTTGAAGGCGAGGCGGGCAGGAGAGTCCTCGTCCAAATCCTCGGGTTCCTCCTCTGCAGCGATTGGCATCAAAGCCTGGATCATAGGGCCAACAAGCTTGAGGCGCTGGATCTTTGTCTTTTTATACACAACAGCCCACATGAGGAAGGAGAGACCCTGAACACGTACAATGGGTTCGTAGGACTTATTGCTACCGATGTTCAAGAAGAACTGGATCAAGGACTGGACGTGCTTGGAGATGACGGGAATCTCGAGCAAGAGGAGTTGGTCAAAGACATCGAAGCACTTGACAGCCGACTCTTCGTCACCGTCGGTCAGGGTCTGCTGCAAGACGTTGACCATGTGGGGGACGAGCTCGGAGAACATGGCAATCTCCTCCTTTTGATCATCCTCGATAAAGTCTGCAATCTTTCCAAGTGCCTGGACGGTTGTTGTGCGGACGACTGATGACTCTGGGTCGACGATAGTGCGGCTGAAGAGCTCCAAGAGCTGGCGCAAGTTCTCGGCAAAGGCGTCAGTGACTTCAAAGATGGCATAGATAACATAAACACCGACCTCGCGGTGTCCTGCGGTAGGGCTCGAGGAGCACTGGAATAAGAAGGCGATAAGCTCTGACCAGGTGTTGGCGGGGATCTCGACACGTCCAACAGTAGCGATGACTCGTGCTGTCGAGTGGCGAGGGAGGGACCTATTATATCGATTATGAAATGGCAATGCTGGTTAGAGCTTTCCTGGGTGTCCTTGTTGTTCCTTTGTTGATTTTCTGTGCGGAAAACGTTTTTTCTGTTCTCCAGGCGTATGAGAGGGGAACGTACTCTGGCTCGTTCAGAATGATTTCGAGGAGTTTAGCCTTGACTGCCGTCCTGACATCCAGTCCTAGGGCAGTCCACCAGTTCGTCACCTGTTTGCGGAGCTCAACCGCCGCAAGTTGACGGATCTATGTTCGAGGAATAAATAAAAACAATGCGTTGTCAGGACAAAACATCGTCTCCAGCCTTTTCATTTTCGTCTGTTTGTATGTTGTAGTACTGTCCAAGGTTATCTGTCCATACCTCCTTCTGGGGCGAAGTCTGGATAATATGAACAAGGGCAGGCACACAGTTGGCCTCGGCAAAGTACTTTGTCTTCAACGCGGACGTGGCCTATGAGCAAAAAAGAAGAGTGAAGTGATGTCAGCAGGGTTGATCGACAACTCCCGAGTGTTTGATGTAAGTACGTTCGTCCTGCATGGTGTTACATGTTCCCGTGTTTAGTTGGTGGGATGTGGTTACCTCCTTGATCTGGTCGTTGGTGTCAAAGTTGATGACCTGGCGAAGGGTCTGCTCCAGTCCTGCAACGTATTCTTCCATGATTTCCGTAAGTGAGAGAGAGAAGGTAGGAGAGGGGGGTGTTGTTGATGAGGAGGGTGGAGCGGAAAACAAAAAGAGAAGAAAAGAAGACTTGAAAGAAGTGAGCACCGCGTTAGCTTAAAAAAAAAAAAAAAAAAAAAAAAAACCAACGTCCCAAAACGTGATCCATCATCAGCGCACAACATGGAAAGAGCTTTGACCGCGTCCGCCACCAAAAATCTCATCCGTGGTGCGAAAAATGTCCTTTCGTTTGTTTGTGCATACAAAACCCAAACCAAAGTCTTTTTCAAAATAAAGATCAAGGGCTTTTTTTCCAATGCTGTCGCCACGTTGTCCATGCATTGTTGTAAGCATACAAATGATTCGGTATCAGAGGGTATTGTTCATGAAAGGTGCTGGGCATGAAAAATTGACAAATGGGAAGGCGTGATTTGTGTGTGTGCTGTACGCATGAAAAAGCGAACGGCCTACTTCCAACCTTATCTGAGACAACAACCCCTGACAATGATGGTATCTGGTTCCTGGCGTCGGCTTTTGTTGCCAAAGTGAAAAAGGGTTTCCAGTTGTTTCATTTCTTTCTGGTAAAGAAACAAAGGTACTGCCCAGTAGAAGGATATTTCAACTTTTGTATTTTTTACTTGTGATCTACAACGTGCTACTTTGCGCCACACATGCCATCCTCGTCCTTCTCAGACTCAATTTGCCGCAGCTGTGCCGCCCTCGCAACTAGCTCCCGTGTCGTCAATGCCTGAGTCTCCCGACGAATTGCCCCACCTCCAAGGACATACGAGCCGCCCTTCCATGACTGTCCATCGACTCCATGATCCTCCAGATCATCATGGTATCCCTGAAGTCCATTGGCGGGGTCGAAAAAGTCACTTCCAGCGACTCGGCTGCCGTTTTGTGCAGTCCAGTCCAGTTGTTGCACCTCCTTGTTCAGTTGTCGGTTCAGAGCGTGGAAGTTGTCGTCGTGCTCGCTCCAGACCTAGGTATATCAATGTTTATGGATAATTTCATCCGCATTAGTTTTCTATGCAACACAACCATTAATAAAAGGATGTATAACGGCGACAAAAAAACCAAAATGCAGCTTACGTTGTGAGCAAGCTCATGCAAGAGAACTTTCCGAACGGCATCATAATGCCGGAACCCTTCCAGATCATCCGTCCGTAACCGAAGCGCAATCAATTCGCCCTTATTCCTGTTATACCCCAGAATGGTCTTTTGAGCCGGGGACAGCTCGATCAACGCGCCAACCTGCCATTTGTGTAGTTTCATGATCCCGATGATTCCTCGGTCGTTCTTGAGTCGCTCCAGAACTGCACGTGCTTTGTCCTGTTCTTGGAACTCTGGAAGAACTTGGATGGGTCCGAATGTATACTTGTCATCGTCCATGTTTCGTACTGGTTGGGATCTCTGTTGGTGGTGACGGTGAATGTGGACAAAAAGGTGATGTCAGTTTCCTGCTAGTAGATGAATAAAGAGTGTTTCCTCGAAAATAATAATATACAGTGATCACAGAACGTTAAGCAGATTCATACCTTTGCTACAGGTGCTGGCCGGTAGCTCTTCCGTGTATTGATATGCTCATCGATAGAATGAACCTTGGCGATATCCTTCTCTGTGGTGCCGAGAACAAAGATCTTGGCTCCTGTAGTCAGAGAAGGGTGCTTGACAAAGACAGTCTCGGTATCCTCACCCTCGTTGGGTCTGAGGACCTTGCCTTTGAACATGACCTTGAGTCCTGAGAGGGGCACTTGAGTCTGTTCTGAGATCTGTTCCAGTAAGAGGGTTGATGTTGATGTGGGTGCGATGTCGAGGTCGTACTTTGTCCCCTTGAATGTGTACTGGAGTGAGGCCATTTTTGTGTTGTTCTGAGTTGATAGAGGATGGTGGTTCTTTCGTTGTGCCTGAGTAAGTTTTCCTTGATTTGTGTTTGGTTGGTTGATGAGTAATGTGAGTTCCTTGTGGTTAGGCTGGTATATGTGAGGAGGGGAGTGTTGTATTAGGTGTGTGTTTGTGTGGAATTGGGCGAAGTGGGGGTATGGAGTTGAAAATGAAGGAAGAAAGGAAGCAAAAGTAAGGGCGGGGTGTCCGTCCTTTTTATTCCTAGTTCGATTGGCAAGACTGCATAGAACAAATTACGCAGTCCCCCCACCTCCGATGACAAATCTTTGCTGTGGACAAATCGCAACGAACCCAACGCGCGTTGTCTCTCAACCATTTTAATTATTGGCCACCAAAATTTGACTGCCCTTGCGTTTCGCACGTCAAGTTTGTTTGTTGTTCACCACCTACTCTTTGCTTCGAAACGACATGCCACCGCACCGACAGGAACAACAGACATGAACCCCTACTCCGAATTCACTTGCCTCTACACCAGCCAAAAACAAAAGAAGGCAAAGACTTGGCATGATGGTACTTTCACCCTCATTCTCTCTTGATTCTCGGAATCAACTCTTGCTATGATCACAGGTCCCTTTTTTTGCCACCAAAAACGTTCTTACATGTTCGCTTGTCCACCATTGTAGGCCACTTGAAGTACTTCCACAATAACTCCAAGGTCGTCCTCTATGACGAAAAGTACAATGTGCTAGACAGCAAGTTCCATAGAGGAACGGCGCTTGCTGTTGGTGACGACATGGACATGGAGAAGCACTTGGTCACTGTCGAGGACTTGACGGTCGAATACGCCACCAATCCTGGAGACTCAGGAACGTCCTCCAAACCTGTTGCTGCTACCTTAACAGCAGCCCGAACGGCAGTACCATTGCGTTCAGCACCGTCGCACCAGCAGTCAAAGCCAGCTGTGAGACCTTTGAACCCTTATGCGTCGGCTGCTTCGGCTAATTCGGCCTCATTGTCGTCCCGATCAACTGACAGAGTACCTCCACAATCTGCGGGCAGACCTGTGAATAGTTCCGTACCTCAGCAACACCAGTACAGCAATGCGGGAACCAGCAATAACTACTCTGTGAACGCATCTCAAGTAGACCTGAAGCGGAAAAAGTGGAGGGCGCCTTTCACCAACAAGGACCTTTCAACCCCACCTTTGATGGACGAACAGTTTGATCAACTGGACGATGGCGACTTTGACAACTGGGAAGACTCTGCTATGCTAGACTCTGTCATTGCACCTCCGGTCCCGGAAGGCACGGGCATGAGAGGGAATGCTGTAGCGAATAGAGCATCCACGGGGCCAACTTCTGCCACGGAACCTACTTCATCCATCAAGCCTGTGTCAACAGCACTCTCAACATCAGGATCGACTGCCTTCTCAAGGGACGCTCCCAAAAGACGAAAAGTCGGACTGTCAAGACCTACGGGATCTCTGGATGTTCCAGCGCAATCATCGCTCATGGCTCCTCACAAGCCTCCCAGCAGCCAACTCGAGTTCCCAAACGCCGCTCGCTGCACCAATTTTACTGGAAAGAACTCTGGGCAGCTTCTTCGGCGGTCAATGGCACTTGGATCTCGGTTTGCATCGACCAACCAGTACAGGGACAGCATGACTTTTTTGATATACGAGCATCTTCAGATCATGGTCATCGAGATCGCCATCATCATGTGGGGTATCAAGTCAAGCAGGAAGGCACATGACGGAGATTCCCAGGATTCACTCTATCGAAGTCGAGGCGTGCACGTACATTCGGGTTCGACATTGAGGAGGCGAGGAGATGCTTACACGGGGTTTCCTCTCTACAGAGGCCAATCAGGAGCACCTGGACCTATGGAGGCAACCGCTGTGGTGCAGCCTTCAGCGCAACAAGCCGCCGTACTCTCACTTTCCAATAAGGAGCATCACTCAAAGTACGAGCAAGTGGTTGACATTTGACATGCGGATCAAATTATTTCGGGATAACTGGATGTTGACATTGTCTTTTCCCTTTTTCCCCACTCTTCAGGTACTCCAAGGACGATCTGTGGGTGGTGTCGCAGTCATCACGGTTCGATGCTGCGTCCACGTTTTTCGCACGCTCTGTCTTTTACGGACCATCCGGGAACGATGTCGAGGTCAGTTTATGGGCGCTCTGCTTTATATTGGCGCATGTGGACTATACCTGGACCTGTATCTGACCCAAATTGTCTCATCCGCGTAGATTACCTGCTTGTCACACAGTGACTCTAGTAAAGCCAGGGACATACTGTCGCGCTCAAATCAAGTGTGCGCCATACGACTATTCAATGGCATGTCAGAGTTCATGATGCTTGGTAAGTTCTAGTTTTCTCAGTGTCATCCTGTGGGTAAATTGTCATCATCACATCTACAGGGTATTTACACCTCTCGAATGTCTCCGCAACGGCGATTTAGACAACTTGCAGGACGGGTTGACAAAGACACCGCTTCTCCCTACACTTTTGAACTATGTTCCGCCAGAGTTGGTCAAGGCATCAAGGACAGCGGTCTTCAAAGCACCCTCTCGTATCCCTGAAAAGTCTGGATGTATTGTGCTGACAGAGGAGGATGGGATTGATATGGAGACTGAACTTCAGGATACGATTGAGAAGTATGGACTAAATTACGAGCAGGCAACTGTATTACGGAGCTTTGCTCACACTGTTGTCCGAGCGCCGGGTTGGAGTCCATCGTCTTCCGAGCCACCCTCGATCTTACTTGTTCACGGTACGTTCCTCGATAGGGCTAATGAGATATTTGGTCACCATTTCGTACGGTTGCTAACACTGGAATTGGTCTATATTTTTCATTTTAGGCGTGTTCGGAGCTGGAAAGAGGTATGACAGTGTCAAGTCATGCCGGAAATACTGGAATGAGAAACGGATCAGCTCGCATGGACTATCGCTTAAACGGACAATCTTTCATATCTTTCCATCTCTAGTTTCTTGATCGCCGTCTTGATTGTATTTATTGACACGCTCCTCAGTAAGGCTCGCCCACTCCCAAAGGATGTGCGTTCCTGTCGGTTTCTGGTCTCCTCCATGACCGTATGTTCATGCATCATGTTTGCCTTCGCTTTTTATACTAAGAACTGGATGGCGGAACTTTAACTAACGCAGTGTGTCTTTTCTCTCTGCATGTATAGAATGTTGCCGTGGACAGGATTCTGATGGTAGGTGTCTACCTTTACGTGGACATACTCTGGAACATACGCTAAGAGGATATCCTGATACTAAAATTCTCGTGCAGGCCTTGCTAGATCTCAACTACAACAAGTTTGTTCGTGTGGGCAGTTTGAAAAAGGTGGCCAGGAGAGTTCTTCCTTTCACCGCCCAGTCATCAAGCGCACGAACAGGAGAAGGTACAAATCTCGATCTGGACACCATTTCAGTTGGAGATCTCGTCACCCACGCACGCCCTAACCTTACGTCTCGCGTTGTTTTGTGTAGATGTCAAGGAGCTGCAGGCGATGTTAAACGATGACAGCCTGTCAATCAAGGAGCGTCAGTATATCAAGGATGCCATGAGACGTTTCCAGCGAGAAGAGAACCGCGGATTGGTGGAGAAAGCAGATGTTGTTGGTAAGAAATTTTACGCCACCAACTGGACACCGAGGATTTGATTGGTTGGAGATGCACACTAATCATTTTCTTATTTTTTGTCGCCTCTCGTTTGCAGGAGCAACATGTGTGGCCACCATGTTTGAAGTCATGGACGAGGCATCCTTTCCAATCGTCATTCTGGATGAAACCAGGTATGCCTGCGACGACATAGCTGAATTACCGTGCAAATGACATCAAAGATCTTTGCGGATTGTTAAACTCGTCCTTTTCTTATCCAGTCAACTGCTAGAACCCATGTCGCTAATCCCGATCTGTCGAGCTGCTTGCCAAAAGGTGGTCATGGTTGGCGATCCTCTCCAGCTTTCGCCGCCTATCAATACCATTGGTGACAGTGCCGGCAAAGGTCTCTCCCGAACTCTCTTTGACCGCTCCATTGAGGTAAGGTAGACTCTCGTTGTAACCCTGGCAGCTCAATTGTGCAGTCATGTAGTCGTATCGGAACTAACAAATTCATCCTCAATTTATTTCATTGTTGGGTAGATGGGGATCAAGGTAAAAACCGTCTATGCCATGCGAACCGTTCTCTTTTCAATGCATACGCATGTCATGGCGCTGACACGCTTTCTCCTCTCACTATACTATTTAGCCGATCATGCTTAGAACCCAGTATCGATGCCATGAGCGGATAGCAGATATCAGTAACGCATTGTTCTACTCCAACGTTCTCAAGACAGGACCGAGTTTGGAGGACCGCGCGCCCTTGATTGAAGGTCTGCCGACACTCACTTTTGTCGAGAGCCACGGACAGGAGATTCAGAACCCGCGGAGCAAATCATACACCAACCTAACCGAGATCAAACTGGTCGTCACCATCATCCAGCGCTTGCTGCACCTTAACATCCCAGAAACAAATATCGGTGTCATCTCTCTTTGTATGTTCTAACTGTGTTGTTGCTAGCAGAGTTGATCTTTGGTTTTCCGACAGGTTACTGACGTATCTTCATCTTGTTATATCCTGTTTATAGACAAATCGCAAGCGGATGGGATTGAATCTGAGCTGAATGAACAACTGAAGAACTCTGGTCAGAAGGGCGGCGTGCAAATATCGACAGTCGATGCTTTCCAGGTAGGTAGACCTGTATCATTGAAACATATGGGCTTAATCTACCCAACTAAGGTGCTGACTCTTGATCCTCACAACGACTCTGAACTTCTTTTGTTAATTTAGGGTTCGGAGAAAGAGGTCATTATTGTGTCGACGGTCCGGACAGACGCGATCGGCTTCATTGACAACTCTCAACGTGTCAACGTTGCTTTGACGCGAGCTAAGCGGTAGGTGCCAACACGGGTGTGCTTTTTTACAGGGGGTCTGAAATTGTACAATAAGGGAGGTTGTGCTAAT